GAAGTCACTTCCATGTAGTTTTCTGCTTGTCTTCTCGTCTGTGTGCCAGTTCTGATTCTGAAGAAGATGACTTTAGTTGGCCTGTTTAATATGAACAAGATTCAGTGCTTTAAGCAAGTCAAGGTATACAATCCCTTTAAGCCTGGGAATGTAACTAGCTGATTCCAAATAGTTATTTATAACATGCTGACCAAAGACCACATGTGAACAGTATTCAAAATGAGGCCATACATCCCCATGCGGTTTAGAACGTACATTTTTACCCTGGAAGTTCAACAAGGCTGAGCCTGGTCACTGCTAGGATGGGAGACATTGTGCTGCTGTAAATGGTAGGTGGGGCTTTGAGAGCAGAGTTTTCAATGCAATGCTCCAGTATGGGGACTGGAAAAACTGTCCGGTTAAGGATGCTGTCATTTGAATGAGACATTAAACTAACGTTGCCATTCATTTGCAACTTTTCAAAGGAGTAGGGTTGTGAACCCTGGTGTCCTGGCTAAATTCTGCCCTCTACCCTCTACCTTAATTCTATTCTGAAGTAATTTCTCTGCCTGATTTGTTGTGAAGGGAGGCTGCTGCTACTTTGTGGCAAAAGTAAATGTGGTAAATCTGCATTTTCTGGTGCACAATCTAGCTATTTCCCTTTACTGTACACAGGAAGACATGATGTTAATATTGAAGAAAACCTGATAATGCATCAATTAAATGTGATGTGCAAATGTGAAGGATTAACTGCCATATTTCATATTAAATGATTATGTATAATTGTTGTGATCGGGCCTTTTCAGACTTTGATCTTTGGGATTAAAGGTTGCTAAATGACAAGCTTGCAAACTCACCTGTTACTCTATTCCTGGTCATTGGCGAGTCCACAGGGCTGCTCCAGTTTGGGCTGTGATGGCCTGGCCATCCAGGCACTCAGCCTTATTTTATCTCTCATTGTTCTTTTTCTGTTGTTGTGTTGAGAAAATTTAAAGTATGTGTTTTAGTCTCCATCACAACATTCCTTCCTCTCTCTCTCTTACTGTAGCTTTTCTAGAGACCTTTTCGACCTGTGCTGCTGTTCCATAACTGAATGTTGCTCTTGTTTTAATCTGTCTCCTTAACAACCCAACCAATCTGTTTTCAGAAGCTGGTTTGTCTTTAGAGGGTCATAATGAGGCACAGAGAACTAGTAAGACTACACCAAGGCCAAGAAGTTTTTCTTAATTAATTTGTAAAAACATTGGGCCACTATATAGCCTTTGGTTTACTCGATTGTGAATTTGTGCTGTGCAACAAGAAAAATTACTTTCAACTGTTGCCAATGATTCTTCACTGAATCTGCATATACAGTACCTTGTCCCATTCTGCTGTTACTCTGTCAAAACCTTTTTTTTGCTCTCTGACAGTACTATTTCCAGATATACTCCAAAGCATACCATATTATCATCACAGTTCCCTAATGGTTCTCTCACCTCTATTTTCCTCACTCCATCCTGATTGTTTGAAAAGACTAGATCAATACAGGCATTCCCTCTTGGAGGTGCTTTGACAAACTGTGCACAACCATAATCATTAACCATGTCTGCCTTTTCTGTTTCTGTTTCTGATGTCCCTGATGGCTTTTCTGAATCTATGTGGGGAAAGTAAAAACCAAACAGAGTACAAAACTTCTGCCTTTATATATGCATCCACGATTTCATTATATAAGCCAGCATTATAGTTGAAGTCTATGTTTACTGATGTATAGTATACTCCTAACACTATGTGTTTTGAATATCTGATGCATATAACTTCTGAGACCGAGGATTTGTCGGTTATTAGGTGTAGTGCTTGATTGCTCTTTTTAACATCGAGTGCTACTCATCCACTTCTTACATCGTGTCTCTGCTCTGCTTTATTTTGTATGTGAGCAAGACATGACAGCATTGCATCATATTGCTTAGGCTCATGGGGGTTTTTTCTTATTAAGAGGAACAAAAGACCTGATTCCAAATGACAAACAGGTGAAGGAAATGCAGTTTCTCTCTACGGTGTTCCCCTCTTGAGAGTACGGTAGGTCCCTTTTCAGGCCATCAAGGCTCATGGGGTCTTGAGTGTATGGCAGCTGCTAAACTAAATCACCCCAAATCATCCTTACACATTAAACACACAGTTCCAGACATACATCCATTATCTAACTGCCTTATCCCACACAGGGCTGCAGTGGAGCCAGAGCCAATCCCAGAAAGAAACACGCGCGAGACAGGAAGCCAGCCCATCAGTTCAGAGGGCACGCACACTCACACCAGGGCCAGTGAATCTACCAGCAGCTCTCTGGGACAATGGGAGGGAACTTGAGCTCCTGGGGCAAACCCACATGAGAGCACAGAGCACAGACTCCTTGCAGAAGCACCCCAGGCCCAGCGCTGACCCAGGGCTCCAGGACTGTGGCAGTGATGCTGACCACTGCGCCGCTGCGCCGCCCCAGTTCCAGACCTTCTTCACTCAGATGTGAAAAAATGCGTCCAGTGCCTGTTATACAGTAAGAGTGCCATATCACCAGAATAAGCCAATTGTGCACTTCTTCATCAAGAAGACGTTGATTTGACATGCTATATACAGTATATACACAGGACATCCAGCTTTTATGTTCATTGGCTTGTTTGATACCAACAAAATGTATGAGTACGAAATGCATGCATACAATGGAATAAAACTATTACTCATTTTAACCTCCATCGCTTTGTTCTCTCCCTTCTCAGCCTCTCTAATATCCTTTTAATCTAAATCTGTTCTACTTCTCTCCTTTAACATGAGCCTATTGTCTGTTGTCCTTCAGTTATTTTGTGCTTTCTTTCTTATTATATTTACTCAATGTATGTTTTAAACAATATAGTTTGGGCCTTTTGTTTGCTTACTCTGGGATGAATCTGGTCTGAGCTTCAAGCAGAACGTATTTAAACTTTGGTCTCCCATTCACCGCCGATTCCACATTCCTTCTGCTCCATTCTGCTTCCGTTTTGCTGCCTCCTGCTCGCATTGTGTGCTCTCTGCGCTTTGAGTGTGTTGTCAGAATATACTGCTATTCTGACTGGCATTGAACTGTTCTATTCTGCAGTTCTAATGTTTTAATAATGACCTCTTATTTGCAGGAAGAGAAAGAGCGCTGCTGCAATACCTTGTATTGTGTATTTTGGTAGACGATTTCTGCTTTCTGTTTCACACTGCCATTGTTTCGTAAGAGCTGTATGATACGTTTGATGACTTGTTGATTAAAACAAATTGTTTTGAATGGCAGTAAAGAAAAATACAATATGAAATACAACAGACCATAATTGTATGCTCATTTTCGTAATGAACCAATTTTTTGTAAATTTTAGCGAAATGTATTCAAACTACTACAAGCTAATTTTCACACACACATACACTGTATATGTTTATTTGTTAACTGTGTTGTAGACACGGCTTCAAATCGCAGAAACAACGCATATTTATATACGATTAGGCCACCCGCCAATATTATTAGTATATATAAAACATTTATCCTTACCATCAATAATTAAAGAACATTTCCAACTCAAAATACACAAATTAGATTTAAAAATACTATACAATTACAGGGCACTATTATATCAAACCCAAAGTAACAACAGGTAATAAACTTGGCTCTTCTTCTTGTAAAAAATATGCATAGGTGCTTGCAGACCAAGTTTATTTAAGATGGCGTTTCTTGTGATATCTTCGCTTTTAATATATGGGTGCCTTTGTAATATTTGTATTTTCTGCACGTTCACGGTGTTTGTCTTACAGATGTATATAATTAAATAGACACGAAACATTTAAGAGGTAATTAATATGTAATCAGCGGTCGTCATAAAACTGGTCTGAGGAGTACAAGCGTTCGACAAACCACGGCGACTCAAGCAGACATCCCTGCCCAGCAGAACACCGTTTTCCAACATGAGAAAGAGAAATACTGCCATCTAGCGGTTTAATGGAGATATTGTTTATTTCCCATGCAATTTTTACGGACGTGTAAAAATATTTTTTTATTTTCAACGTCCCGACACGTCACTTCTCCATAAAAATGCGTGCATGTTCCTCACAGATAATATATTGTAATCCATTAATGCAGAACAAATTAATTCTATGCAGAGACAGTTAAAACATACTAGTGTACTGGTAAGGAACAAATAATAGGTTTAGTCAGCAGCAATATCACCCTGCAACTCACAACTAGCAGCCCATTGAAGCTAAGCAGGTGTGAGCCTGGTCAGTACCTGGATGGGAGACTCCTGGGAAAAACTAAGGTTTCTGCTGGAAGAGGTGTTAGTGGAGCCAGCAGAAGGCGCTCACCCTGTGGTCCATGTGGGTCCTAATGCCCCAGTATAGTGACGGGGACACTATACTGTAAACAGGTGCCGTCCTTCGGATGAGATGTAAAACTGAGGTCCTGACTCTCTGTGGTCATTAAAAATCCCAGGGCGCTTCTCTAAAAGAGTAGGGGTGTAACCCCGGTGTCCTGCCCACATTTCGCATTGGCCCTTACCAATCATGGCCTCCTAATAATCCCCCTCTATGAATTGGCTCTCTTCCCCACTGAGAGCTGGTATGTGGGGAGAGGACTGGAGCATCATCCAGGTGGGGCTGCACATTGGTGGTGGTGAAGGGGATCCCCATTACCTGTAAAGTGCTTTGAGTAGAGTGTCCAGAAAAGCACTATATAAGTGTAAGCAATTATTATAATTCCATGCTGAAAAAAGAAGAAAGAAAACAAAACATTTCGGCCGTGGAGCCTTCTTCAGGTGTGAAGAACTAGTGTACTTGAACTAATGTACTGGTACTTGTATTTTTCTATCCTTACCTATGTGCAGATATTTTACAGACGCTTTGTTGCATTGAATAGGTATCAACTGTTTCAAAGCCTTGGATTTCATAATATACTACATGTACCAGAAGTCCTTGCGAGGCAAAATGGGTGGGGCTTGTGCGGGGCGGGGCGGGGAGGGGAGGGGCCAGTGGCCGGAGGGAGGGGCGTGTGGCGTCTGCGTGTCATATGACCTGCAGCGGTCAAAGATGGCTTTCGTGTCTGGAGCGGGTCGGAGCTGCTGGAATCCCTCGGCAATGTCTGGCTGCGTTGCGGTATTCCTGATTTTAACGATCTCGTCTTGGTTCGGGTCGACTCGGGCAGAGGTCTGCTCGGCGTTTCTAGACAGACAGACTGGAAAACTGACGCTAGCAAATGGTTTTCGACCAGACTTTGTAGCCTGGGCTAATTTTACCGATGAAATAAAGCAGACAGGGTAAGGTGTTCACATTTGTTTGGTACAGTGTTACTTCTTTAGCTTTAATGTAATGCAGTTAAAATATTTTCTCCCTTTTGTGGACTTGGAAGTGTTACTGAATTTGCTCGGTGTTTGTGGTTTGCAGAGTCAAATTACAGTTCCTTAGAACTGCTGTGCTGGCTGCTCTTTTTTTTTTGGTTACCATCCAGAGAACCAAAACTTGTTTCGGAATTTAAATAAAAATGTACTTTAGGTGTGATAGCAGACAGCACAGAGAATCGGTTTAAAGAAGACGTGGGATATCCCAATTTAATAAAGTCGTGGTGACGCTGCTGTTTGATCTGTCACTCTGCGACAGGAGCACACCCACGTACAGGATGTGTGTGGAACTGTGATTTACTGTTTTGATTCACTGCATGTCCTTGCAGGTGGTCATATCTGGAAGTTACCACTAGTGGGCGGTACAACGACAGTCTCCAGGCTTACGCAGCTGGGGCAGTGGAGGCTGCTGTCACCTCACAGGCAAGTGTGTCCGCACGCTGGCTGACACCTGGAGTCAGGATAGTGTAGGATCTGGGAATGCGCACGGACATTGCAGTCCTAAATTAGATTCTTGGAGTAAGGAAAACAATTTACTGTGTACCATGATCAAACATGTCTTCTAGTTTGAGTGCTGTCTCTGGTTTTGTTTGGCTGTGCTTTGTAATGATTAATTGATTCTTCTCTTGCATGCTCGAACTTTGAAACGTATTGCTTCAGAAGGAACTTTGAGACACATGACTAAAAAAAAGCAAGGAGGCTTACAAAATAAAAAAATGGAAAGACAGAGCTGCCCGGTTTTATGTGCTTTGTTTTAGTTGCAAGGAGACACCAAGCCGGTGGGTGAGGCCGGCTGGGTGCCCCCGAGCCTTCATTTCACGTCTCCAGCTGCCCATTTTAGCCCCCAAAGAACTGGTGTCCTGTCCCCCTTTGTCACTTTTCTCACTTGATGAACTGGTAAACACCTGACATCCGTTATTTCAGCATGAAATGGATGAGTGTGTGTGTGCATTGTCTGCAGACTACAAATGTTTAAGATTGTTTATTTCTAGTAATAGAATCATAGTCATCCAGCATAGAATCAATGCCAAGTAGATCACAATAAATGCATTGCTGCCGATTGAAAGGGAGATATGCGTTTGGAAAAGAATGTCCTGGTTGTGTCTCTGATCCACCGTTCCTTGTGGAAGAGGGCGAAGACAGCCATGCTAAGCCTGTCATTTTCACCTCCTGTAGCTGCTGTATGAGCACTGGATGAACACTATGGTGGGCTACTGTGGCCCCTTCAAGTATGAGAGTGGATACTGCAAGAGGCTGAAGGATTACATCATCCGCAATCTGCAGTGGATGGAGCAGCAGATGGAGCAAGCAGACGACCCCGAGTACTGGCATCAGGTACTGGGGGGAAGAGGTGGGCGGTTTCAGATGTTTTGGGTAGCTGGAAGTGCTTCAGTAAGTGCACAGACTTCCCAGAGCTTGGCTTTCAAATGAGTAGGTGTCTTGGTAGAAAGGGGTTTTGTGAAGGATTTTTTTTGTCCCGTACTAGGCTTCATCTCATTCTGCTTGAGTGCAGGGACATATGGACACATTCATCTGGTGCAAAGCACAGTAGAAAAACTTAAAGGGGTTGCATATTTCAAACTTATTGTTTTTGTTTGAAAACGCATCAAAACAATGCGTTTTGTTTTACACATGAGTGCAAAGACAACTTTGAGAAATTTGTGCAAATTATCATGAAATGTGGGGTGGAAAGATGAAGGGGTCCCTGTTCTCAGAAAGGATGTCCGTGTTGTGGATAGTCCTTGCTCCCTGTGGGGAATCAGACCTCTGTTTCCAGGAGTGCTTGTTGTGTGTGACTCTGACCGCAGGGTTGCAACACTAAGAGAATGTTTTGCATTTCAAGTCGTGTTCAGTGAAGGAAGTGCTTGATGCCTGAGAGCCTTATCTGGATATATAGATTTATACTGAAGGATTCTGAAGATTAGCCTTTGATAGTTGCTGAGGGGGTTGAAAAATACTGACCCTGTCCTGTCTTGTGGTGGTGTATCTCAGCTGTTGTTGGCCACAAGAGCTCATCACAAGGCTCTGACTCTGCAGCAGAAAAGAAAAAAAAACATTTGTCAGCAAAACCTGCCTCAAACTCTAAAAGAGAAGTGCAATGTACCACTGTCTTGGGGAAATGGAACTTCATTTTGAGACCAGAGACTAGTACCTGAATATGATTGATAGTTAATTTTCTCTTCCTATTTTAAAAAAGCAAAGTTGTAGAACTATGCTTGTGAAACCATGAAAATGTCATTCTGTGTGTAGTGTGGGCATTGTTTTGTGTAAAACCTGCCGTGCAGGCGATGGAACAGTGGTTTATTGATGAAGTTGCACTGTTAACAAGAATGCGCTTGAGTGTGGAGGTCTGGAACAGGATTCGGATTCCCGATTGTGCACATTTAGAGTCCACTTCTTACACTGAGGCTCTGGCTCCCCCATGACCCCAGGTTGAATAAAGAGGTTAGAAGGGGGGGGATTGTCTGGTTGTGTTCAGTTCAGCTGTGGCCTGAACTGGTCTGTTCTGGTCTCTCCGTCAGATACGTCTGGCTTTGCTGCAGCTGAGAGGCCTAGAGGACAGCTACAACGACCAGGTGGCCTTTCCCAGTGGCCAGTTCTCAGTCAACCCCTTCGGCTTCTTGTGAGTGAGCTCCCTGCGGCCAGCGTGGCTGGCGAGAGAGGCGCCACTGTGCTCCGCGGTCATTATGCCAGGGCTCATGCTGCACTGTGCTGAGGAGAGCAGCAAGGTCTCAGTGAGCCTGATTTATCGGTCTTTTAACGAAACCACCTCTAATGCATGATGGGGCGAGCCAGCTGCTACGTTTCAGATGAATAACGAGGAGCTGTGCTTGTTAATATCAAGTCTGTTTCCTGTATCATGTTTTTATAACTGTGCCTGCATACACAAATTCTGACCTGGCCTTTTTCTTTTTTCTTTTTGAGGTATATAATTTCTAAGGCACATTACATTACAAGGCACAATGCTATATGAAAGTATCCCTTTCATACAGTATTATAACGTAGCTTTACTTAGTGCTGTCTGTCCTGAAATGCAGAAATCTGATTTAGGAGCTCAGAGTTCGAGCTCTGCAGGAACTGATGGATAAGGAAAATAAATTTAATTTTGGCAGCTGACTGTGCATGTAATATTCTCTTTTTTTTTTTAAACGTTACCCACGGTGGTTTAATATCCCAGTGTTAGTCTGGGTCTGCAGTGTAATGGCGTCCCCTGCTTGGACAGGCTTTTTCAGATGGGCGGAGACCTGGAAGACTTGGAGGCAGCCCTTAACAAAAGCAGCCTATCGAGAACACTGGGCTCTGGATCGTGTTCCGCCCTCATCAAGCTCCTTCCAGGCAACAAAGAGCTGCTAGTCTCCCACGTCACCTGGAACAACTACCAGTCCATGCTGAGGATCATGAAGAAGTACTCCTTTGCCTTCAGGAAGTCCCCACAAGGTGCCGCCACTGGGGTGATGGTGATCTGTCCATCTCTCCGTCCGATTCCAAATCACCTCTTTCAGTTCGGGCTGCAGGGGAGCGACAGTCTGTCCTGGCAAGCAATGGGTGCAAAGCGTGGTGCACCCTGAGCCCTAATGCACGGCTGACGCTCACTCACACTCGCACCACGGCCATTAATTAACCTTCTAGCACATCTCTGGACTGTGGGAGGAAACCCACACGAACATACGACCTCCACGCAGACAGCACCCTCACCTCAGGCCTGGAAGTGAGCCCAGGGCCCCAGTGCTGCGAGGATGAACACTGCGCCGCTGTGAAAACAACTCCTTTGTTTAGTGTGTGCGGTGGTGAACACTAGATCCCGTCACACAGGCGCTTAAACACCGTCGCACCTAAACCCAGCCACGATGGCGGTGACTCCTCTCTCAGTCCGAACTTACCAAATCTAATTAGCACCAACTAGAAATACAAAACGAGTATTTTTCCTGATTAGTACTGCCACACAATTCAGCTTAATCATACCGGGCCATTTTCAGATGTGTGCGAAGTCGGGTCTGTATCAAGAGGTTGAAATATTTAGCGATTTCCAAGATTGCATGCGTTTACTTGGAATGCTTAAGTGTTTATGACTGTAAAAGGAAACTAACTTTTTTTTTGTAATAATGTGACATTAGAAATCTTAATCCAAGTCACAGTTTGGGGGGAGGGGAACCACCCAATAAGCATTTTGTTTTCAGATATATGCAATTTTCTCTGACAAGATGTCTTCTTTTTTGTCCAGCTGAAGATCCTATTCCTGGCGGGACACAAGCGTTCTCCTCTTATCCTGGCTCCATCTTTTCTGGAGATGACTTCTACATTCTGAGCAGTGGACTGGTGAGTCCCTGGGTGGAGGAGGAGACTGGGTGTGAGCTGTCTGTAGCATGTGGTCTGTGGATGTTGCCATACGCTGTTGCCATCTTCTCCGTGGTTACTAGTACTGTGTGTAGTGTCGCTAGCGTCCGCTTCTTCCACTCCAGCGTCGCGGGGCAGCTGGGGTCTGTCCCAGGCTGCAGCCTGAAAGGGACACCAGTCTATCCCGGGGCGCATGCCGACACCAGTGACCGCTTTCCCAGAAGCCACAGTTCTTGGAGCGTGGGAGGAAACCGGAGCACCTGGAGGAAACCCACCTGAACAGGGGGAGAACACGGAAGCTCCCAGCAGATTGAGCCCCAGGGAAGGAGCCCAGGGCCCCAGCTCCGTGGGGCAACAATGCCAACCACTCCACCACCGTGCCGAACATGTTTCTAGCGTCTTAATCGCTGAAACAGTCGAGGCATAATTCAGGAGGCTGTCCGACCGGTGACAGCAGAGCTGGCCAGTGAGCTTCTGTTCTCTGTCTGTCCCCGTCAGGTCGCCATGGAGACGACCATTGGCAACAGTAACCCCGCCCTGTGGAAGTACGTGACGCCCGAGGGGGCGGTGATGGAGTGGCTGCGCAATATGGTGGCCAATCGGCTGGCGAGGAATGGCTCGCACTGGGCTGCGGTCTTCAGCAAGTTCAACAGTGGGACGTAAGAAAGCCTTTCAGAAAACCTGCACTCGGAGGAGCACAGCGGGCTCTCTGTGCTCTCCTTCTATCCCCGCCTTTTACTTGTGTGTTGGCTCAGCGCACGTTTTGCAGTATAGAGGTAAACGCTCCCAGGTAAACGAGTACAGGGCCTGTATACAAACAAACGTTCTCTCCAAGTTCTTTGTGATTTCACAATTGGGCCAAGGTGAGCATATCTATAGGAAACGCACCAGTATATTTATTTCTTGTGTGAGAATTGCATGAGGGTCCACACTTGTTTTAATTTGGTTTGACTGATGTATTTCCCAGCGTTCGGTTTCAGGATGGTTACAAGTATATTTTGTCTTGAATCGGGTGATGCTAATGTCACCCTGTGTTGTAACTCATCTTGAATCGCCCCACTTTATGATTTACTCTTCCACTGAAGAGAATAAAATATCCCAGATATCTGTTGCCATATTTTTCTGCAGCTGCCAGATGCAAGAGATTAGTGATGAGTGTCACGGAATCAATTTGTAAAATCCAGTTCTGTCCTGTGCCCATGTTCCCGTTCTTTACACAGGTACAATAACCAGTGGATGATTGTAGATTACAGTCGCTTCACCCCTGGGAAAACGGACGAAGAGAATCTCTTAACGGTTCTGGAGCAGATTCCGTAAGTGTTTCCATGGTCTAAAATAAGAGCTTTAGTTCCTTTTAAGTTGCAGTCATGTAGTGAAAGCACTGTGGTTAAAATGAATGAAAATGTTAGCAATAAACTGACTGGTCATCAGGGTGTAATGGATTCTCAAGTAGGCTCTCTGTGGTTTCCCAGGGTGCAATTCTTACTGCTCATCTTTTATGTTTTTGCAGAGGTCTGATTGTGACTGAGGACAAAACCAAAGAGTTACTCCAGAAGAGTTACTGGGCCAGCTATAACATCCCGTAAGTACCCCGCAATATGCAGGAATTAAAGTAACGCCTTGCAGAAATGGAGGGCTGACACTCTACAGAAAATAAACATGTCTGCTTTATGGCTCAGTGAGACGGCACCATGAGCAAAGCTTCATGCTGGGCAGTTCCAGTCTGAGGAACCCTTTTCAATTTCCAAGCACGTTGTGGACCATTGCATGGAACTCTGATGTTTTTTCTCTCTGGTATTTAGAGGAATTATCCTTGTAATTACCTTGTTATTATCAGACTTCTTTTTTTTTTTTAAAGGAAATTGATATCCATTTTGTGTTCTGCAGCTACTTTGAGAAGGTGTTCAATGCCAGTGGCTGCCCAGCTCTGGTCCAGAAGTATGGAGACTGGTTCTCCTTTGACAAGAACCCGCGGGCTCAGATCTTCCAGCGGAACCACAGCCTTGTGGTCGACATGGACTCCATGATTCGCCTCATGAGGTGTGTGTGTGTGTGTGTGTGCTGGAGGTGCCAGACTGAACAGGATCAGATTACAGGTTCATATTGGAACCTTTAGAATTAAGAGTGACCCACAAAGAGTTTCCTTTACAAACAAAAAACATGGGTGATCCATGCTTTTATTATTAAAGGGGAACTGCAGCCCCAGTTTCTCAGTTATTAAGTCTCGGTAACAATGAATTAATTGATGTTGTAGAAAAAATTTAATTTAATTTTTCAAATTAAGCACAAAGTCGTTAACTTGGTGGAAGTTCTGTAAATTGCTATGTTGTTACAAACTCGCATTCAAGTTTGCACTAATTGTGATGTGATGTTGCCCTTCCTGCTCACTAGTTTCTGTAATCACTGATGTCATGTGATGTACGAGTGAATACAGGTTGTGCAGCAGACACTTCACTGGAGAAATGTTCCTGCATAATCTGCACGTAGAGTTAACAAGTCGTCTTTGTTGGCAAAACCTTCTCGAAGTCGAGAGCAATATTTCTATTGCATATAAGATTAGATCACTTTATTGGCCATATACAATTTCTTGCATTAGGAATTTCTTTTCACATACCCCAGCTTGCTCTCTATGAGACACACAGACAGGGAGAGAAGCTGGGGGTCAGAGCGCAGGGTCAGCCATTTATATGGCACCCGTGGAGCAGTTGGGGTTCAGGGCCTTGCTCAGGGGCCCACTGGAGTAGGATTCCTCTGCCAGCTGGGGATTCGACCCGACAACCTTCCAGCCACAGGCGCAGATCCTGAGCCACAGAGCCACCGCGCCGCCCCGGCTGTATTCACAAGCCTGCTTGTTTACACTGTAGTAAGGCTGCATTACATCGCCAGAAGTCTTGTTGCCTCGTTCTGAAGCGCAGAACACGGCCCTGCGCTATTTTGTGTTGTAGAAGTGATACACAGGTGAAAATTATTTGCATAGTACAACATAACAGGCCCTTTTAGTGTAAATGACGCTTAAACCTAAAGAGGGAGGGATGAGTAATCCATCAAGTGACCTTCTGTTTTTGCTGAAGCACCAGCAACAACAAAAGGAGAAACTGAGCTTGCAAAACAGGTAAAGCAGTTCCTCAATAAAGTCTTGAGCTCAACTGAGAAAGCATATTGACTCCAAATGAATGAAATGGCAGGAAGGTTAAATAAAAGAGAAACTGCTAAGCTTTCTTATGATGGCGATGCTCGGTAAAGCTTAATGAAAACCCTTATGTAATCGAGTTAACATGCGTGTCAAGTGAGCCCAGGCGCAGGTGAAGCTGACAGGACAGAGGACAGACCAACAAAACGGAAGTTCATAGCCGGAGGCAGACAGACGAATGCCCAGGGGACACAGCTATGCAAAGTCAAAACATAGCGAAGTCAAGAACCAGGGGACAACTAGAACATAAGCAAAGAAAACGCAGAGGAGCGCCACGGTGACCTTCGGAGTCCGGTGGTGAATGACGGGAGTAATGCGGCTGGAATAGATCTTTCCCGGGGCGTGTACTGACCGCGCTAGACGAGGGGGTGTTTGTTGCCATGGTAACTCTAACGCGTCTCGTGGGGTTCTGGCGTGAGCAAGCGTTGCCGGTTGAAGAAGGGCTCTGTTCTTCCTGCTGCCTTCCCAGGTATAATAACTTCGAGGAGGATCCCCTGTCTCGGTGCCAGGCCTGTGACCCCCCCAGCAATGGAGAGAATGCCATCTCCGCCCGGTCGGACCTCAACCCCGCCAACGGCACGTATCCCTTCGGGGCCCTGAGGCAGAGGCCTCACGGCAGCACCGACATGAAGGCGAGTATCGAACCTTCTTCGCGGGCTCCGGGGTACGAGCCGAGACACACCGAGCACACGAGATGGCCGAACGCCGTAGGAAGGGTGGCTTGTCCTCAGCGCGACCCTCAATGGGGTGAACGCGTCTGGGTGACTAGAACAGGGTCGTTTTAGTCAACCGGTGAGAGAAGGACCACATGGGCAGCACGATCGGTATTTTTGGCGTAAACGATGCCTCTGGTCGTCCTACCATAAAAAGATGAGCATGTTTTGAATTATGATCAATGTGTTATATTTATTCAATCTGAGAAACAAGCAGATTATAATTGCATGACATTTTATTTTTTATATAACATAAAGCGATAATTCAAGCACATAGGGAGATTGAGTGTGGTTCAGTGACTGAATAGTAATATATTTGCTGCAACAGTTAACTCTTTCAGTGACAATTAAAATGTAATGAAAACTGAGCTGTAGGTGGCTTTTTCATTTCACGAAACCCATCTCCTTTTTTAAGCACGTACTCCTGGTCGGGGTGGTAGTGGTACTGGTTAACAGCGTATATCTGACGTACCGTTGCTGCAGTTATGGGGAATGCTGTACAAGATGTGAGATACATCTTTTATTGCTTACTTCCCTCTTATTCTCCTCGGACTCCAGATGTTCCCAAATGGCCCTCAACAGATTTGCATGAGAATCCTGTGATTGGCTGTTCCAAGTACTTTCAACACACCAGCTTCTACTATCTAAATACTAATTAGACTCTAAGTGGCTTTTGGATCATGGTGTCCAAGTTCACTACGTCTGCAGAGAGGTACTTCTGGTGTGCATGACCAGAATGGCCGTGGGTGGTTTCTGTTGGCGTGGCTGTCCTGGCGGACCGTACCGTCCCAATGTCGTCAGCTAGACAAGTCGGGGAGTCTTGATCCCACACCCCTGTGGTTAGGAGCAGTGGAGAATGTACAGCTCTGATCTCTCTCCTGCTGCCCACAGGTGACGTCCTACGCCATGTTCAGGGATTACAAGCTGCTGGCGGCCAGTGGCCCCACCTGGGATCAGGTGCCTGCCTTTCAATGGAGCAAGTCTCCCTACAGCGGGCTGCTGCACATGGGACACCCTGATCTGTGGGCCTTCCCCACAGTGCCAGTGGGCTGGAGCTGAGAGGACCGCGACGGCACTGTCTTCACTCTGGGCGAGCGAGTGAGCGAGCGAGCAGGATTCCCTCTCCGCCTCTCTCTCTGGGTCACACCTGGGTGGCGTGTTTCAACTGGACACCCTCGAACAGGGAGGAGGGGACTGGGTTTAAAAAAATGCAAAGTACAAGAGATTTCAGAATTTCTTAGTTTACCCTTAATTACATGTCCTATGAGGACTATGTGTGGCTGTGTGACTCCGATTTGTTTTTATGTAAAACATCTATAAGTGATTCATTCACTTGTAGGTGTTTTTTAAGGATATGTATTCACTTTTAGATGCTTTTTAGTAAACTGACTGCCCTTCCTCACTCTCTGGTTTCTTCTTAGAAATACCATTTTTTGAATGAACATCAAAAACACAAATTTAATTTTATTTTATGAGTAATTGTTGCCATGGTGGAAACTAACGTTTTTTATATCAATTGCTATAAATCTATTGCTTTAAATCTCATGTTAAAACTTTGTCACTTCATCACAAACAATTAAACTGTTATTGCAGGATTGCGATCATTGTAATTATCCACCAACCTATTTTAAGAGTTAGTAATAAATTCCTGAAAGTTGCAGATCAGCTTAGGTTTGATCTGGAGTGGTGTTACTATGTTGCTCCAGTAACCTAAGCTCATAAATGGCTGAATGATAATAAATTGCAATCTTGGATCAAAGGCATGCCAGGGATAAATTGCATTGGGGCTATTTTCTTTGACTTATACTGGAAGTTCTGGAAGAAATGTTTGGTGGTAGGTGAAATGTACTAACTGCCACCTCCCAAGAGAAACACATTTGCACACAGGAAACATGCTGCCACTGGATGGCAGTATTTTTCCCACCATCTTCTGTCAAGATATTAAAATGGTTCTTTGATCAGTCTGTCTCCTGTGTCTGTCCAGACATGTACAGGCCTGCTGTTCCCATCTGTGTCTGTGAATGAACTGGCCAGCTGCCGCCGCTGTGGTCTGAAGGCCTAGTTTCTCTCTTACCAGGCTGGAAGTCTTTCTCTGCCCCGATATGAAATGCTTTGTTTCCCTTTGTTACAAATCTGATACCATAGTGCTTGATTTCATTGTAAGTTCGCTGCTAAAAACAGAGTAATTAGCAGTCTAAAATAATGTGCCTTGATTTCTTGAGTGTGATTAATAAAGTGTCCACAAAAGATGAGCCCCAAATAAAGATCATTTTTGATTCAGTGTTCCATTCAATGAATGTGCTTTGAGATGCCGACTGATGGAATTGGAATTTAATAAAATGGAATATATCAAAACTGCCCCCTGATTGTATTCAGTAGGAAAAATCAAGACTCTTCATGTTTGTTTCATTCAACTAGGCATCTGTAGGGTTGGTAAAGTCCAGAGTGAGGTATGTTTGGCAGAGAGGAGGTAGATGGCAGATCTTGATGTCCCTCAAGACTTTGTTAATTAATTGCTTACACTTATAGAGCGCTTTTCTGGACACTCCACTCAAAGCGCTTTACAGGTAATGGGGATCCCCTCCACCACCACCAGTGTGCAGCCCCACCTGTATGATGCACCAGTACACTCCCCACACACTAGGGAGGAGAGCAGAGTGATGACGCCAATTTATAAAGGGGGATTGTTAGGAGACCAATGGGAAATTTGGCCAGGAGGGGTTACACCTCTCCTCTTTTCGAGAGACGCCCTGGGGTTTTTAATGACCAGCGAGAGTCAGGACCTCGGTTTTACATCTCATTCAAAGGACAGTGTAGTGTATAGTGTTTCAGTATAGTGTCCCCGTCACTATACTTGGGCATTAGGACCCACATGAACCACAGGGTGAGCGCCCCCTGCTGGCCCCACTAACACCTCTTCCAGCAGCAACCTTAGTTTTTCCCAGGAGTCTCCCATCCAGGTACTGACCAGGCTCACACCTGCTTAGCTTCAGTGGGTTGCCAGTTGTGAGTTGCAGGGTGACGTTGCTGCTGGCTATTCCTTAGCTTTGCACTAAGCTCTGCAATATCGTGCCGTATCGTTTAAAAAAGGTGGTTATATTTGTTAATCAGTTTTAATCCATAAAAACGTAATACAAAAGCTTATTGCAGTAGGGTACGATCCATGAAGAAGAGGGAAAATGATTAACATTCCCTGACCGGGAATCGAACCCGGGCCGCGGCGGTGAGAGCGCCGAATCCTAACCACTAGACCACCAGGGACGCTGGCGTGGTCCTCATGAACAACGCAAACAGCCGGCGCACCTACCTCGGCCCTCCCCTGCAGAAGCGATCCGTCCGACACAGAGCACCATGATGTTCAATGGTTTCGGCTGTTAATGAAATGCGCACAGAGGTTTCTGCTTGCGGCGGCGAGTAACATTTGGGGTGTGACCGACTGTCTTCCTTCTGCGCTCAACAGTGCAGGCAGCGATGTCCCGGGTTCGATTCCAGGTCAGGGATTGTCGAGTCTGAAGAGGTGACTGACAGTTCTCCCCCGGTGGCAGACAGCACAGGTACCGACAAAAGAAGGAAAGAAACAAGTACGATGTGACAGTAGCACCACAGCCGCTATCTTTAGCTGTTGCTCTAAGAGAATGCAAAAGGTGCTTTTATCTCGTATGAAGAGACAGTAAAAGGGGCAGAGGTTCCACCGAGATTTGAACTCGGATCGCTGGATTCAAAGTCCAGAGTGCTAACCATTACACCATGGAACCGCGACACTCGCCTCTTCAGTCCACAATTTCGCACTGGAGCACCTTCAACGTGACGCGTGTTTTATCACACAGTGTTTTAGGATACACGCGGCGGCGTGTGTGCTCAGTCCACAACATGCTTACCACGCAGAGCAACTTGCCTTTGAAGAACGCCCTTCGTCTTACGACTTCTAAAACACTTCTGACAAAATAAAAAGTTCTCCTTAGGGGGGACATATGTGGCGCACAAAGTTTCCAGGTGAAATTGCGTCAGGGCGACTGGGGCGTAAAGCGCAGAAAGGCGCACCGACATCATGATCTGCCCGACTTGAGAAATGTCGTAAGAAGCGGGTCCACGTCACACCAGACTCGGGGTAACCAGTCGCCCACACACACCTGTTGATATCTAATAGCAGGGCTGTTGCTCACAGCGTCCCTGGTGGTCTAGTGGTTAGGATTCGGCGCTCTCACCGCCGCGGCCCGGGTTCGATTCCCGGTCAGGGAATGTGCACTTTTTGATGTGGACTACGATGTTATTGGATAATGTACATATTAATGTATCACCACGCGTAGTCAACGAAAACGAACAACGCCTTTTCCACGGACGCAGACGTAAGTTGCTCTTCCCACAGGAGTATTCCGCCTATCCAGTGCAGTGTGTCATGAAGTTACATGTTTTTCGCCGGATGGATACGGATAATGTTAGATTCTGATGAATGACTGTTTATGCATTAAAAACACATATATAAAGAGCAAACTTTAGAAGATTACCCAAAAAGGCTTATCACTTCTATACAAGGCATAACAGTCGTAAGCGCAATCAATTTCTACACTATACTGACTTGTTCACTGATGAGAATACTTAGAAAATGCAAGCGAATACTTGGCAATTTATCACTGAACATTTAAATATCGATTTTTATATGAAGATCTACTATCACGTTCAACTGCGAATGAATTAGGTTAAGATGTGTTTACAAAAAAAAAAAGCTCAGGTTCCACCGAGATTTGAACTCGGATCGCTGGATTCAGAGTCCAGAGTGCTAACCATTACACCATGGAACCGCCGTGTTACTCCGCCTGAAACTGTTGATCTGTAAAGAGTCTAGTACTAGTACCGTCTTCAATTTCTTTATAACATTTCAATGAGATTACTATCGTCCCAAACCGTCCTGGAAACAGCTTAACCGACTCTTCATTTTCGAAAATGACTGTAAAGTATAGAATTATTAACACCAGCTCCCAGTGAACATACACCTTACAAGACACGCAGTACTACTAGTCATGGTATATAGCCCCTTCAGAGAATGCAATATAAGTTTTAGAGGTCGAAATATGACCAACTCTTCAATACAACTACAATTTTAAAAGAAAATATACCGTGCAAAGTTCATTATGAAACCTCGAGAAACGGATGAAGGCGTGCAATGGACATGACCATTGCTGCTTTATCGAAGGTTTGCTTTATTCTGTGGTTTGTGCAGGTTATTCATTGGGTATGATTTTATTTGGGAATTACTGTCGATATATTGTACATTTTCCAAGCATTGTTTCCACGCTTTGCATACCACCCCAACCCGGACACGTCAGAGATCTCCCAGTGAAAAGCCAGTGTGTCGCATAATAATCCCTCCGTGCGGAAACAGGGCGGGCTCTACAGTTCCTTGGATTTCCTACCAGAGATAATGGCGTTTCCCTGTGCAGTGTTGAAGGCAGATGAGAGAACTTTGCCCTTCGGAAAGGGATGTGAAACTGCATGATAGTTCTCACTCAGCATGAACAGCATGTTCTTGTATGGATGATCTTCTGGCTCAAGAAATTTGGATGCACCTTTATTTATCCGCTTCAAGATCACGGGCCGAACATTACGCACGGGAATTTACGGAATTCACAGACAGGTAATAGTTTTTTTTTATGTTAAAGCACCTTGTCGACTGAAGGTTTTGTTAGTATCTTGCCTGAGTTCAAAACATATGGTAATTTATTTTCAGATACTGGAGGCCTATGTTTGCTGAAACACAGAATTTAAAGAAGAAAAAATAACTGTGTATTTTGCCTTTAATTTTAAAGATTAAGTTAAGTTTTTGCACGGAGGTTATACTGTTATCAATTGCAATACGAGCTTTAGCTAGTCTGATTGAACGATACTATTTTGTACGCTTTGCTAGAAACTGCCGGAGTTATTCGTGTTTCCAGTTTATTTTAGGGTGTGAGGACGCTTAGTCATGATATTTTCTTTGTAGGAAAACATTACCTTTGAGATTAAATACGGTGCTTTTCTCCTCTCCATTTCCTGAAACCTGTAAGAACTTCGGAGTAAACATTACAGTTTGGTTCACTGATGTACCGTAAGTGCAAAAAAGGGCAACAAGAGGAAGGGACACAGGAGAAACTATGATAAAATAAATCTCTAAAATATCCGAAACCGCGTTATTGAAGGAGATAAACCTTTAAGCACGTACATTTAAACTCAGTTAAGTAGTTAATTAAACTGAAAAGACTGGTGTGTTTTTGGGTGGATGCTCTGTCTTGGTAGTTGCGTGGCAACACCATAGGTTGTCAGAATTGATTGTTGGCCCCGCTGTTTAAAATCTCTTCCTCTAGTTGTAGAGCCCCCTCTGAACCCCCTGGTGTGTCTACTCCCTGCAGACGAGTGACGGTAACGCCTCTCGCCGTCTGTGCTTGCGTTAGTGTAAAAACCTGTACGACCATGAGGTCTAGCAGGTACGGCTTTGGAGAAGGAATCCTGTGCCTGTGGTCAGATTTGCTGGTCTTCCCGTATTCTCAGCTATCATTAGACATTAAAGACATAAACGGTCTACTGTCACGGCATAGAAGCTAAGCGGCGTATGCACAGGGTTCAAGGGTATCGACGCTGCTTACTCGCCACGCAACACTGTTTCAGAAGTTTGAAAGAGGGTTGTTCGCGTTATCCAGGTTCGTAATAGTTGGATCGTAACTATACAGTACTCAGCTGTGTGATTTTCGTGATCTGTCAATTAGCAGACCCCCAGTGATGGGAGTGGAGAGCTGTGGCTGTGTGTGATTCTGAGTGTGACAGAGTGACAGCTGGGGGGAGCTGTGATTATTTAAGTGTTCGGGTAGTGACTGGTGTCTTTTTCAGGGTTGGTGTGTTCCTTTTTCTCTTTGTCTGTCTGCTTCCTTTCTCTTTTCATCAAGGCCTCCAAGCCTTCCTGGTGCGAACAGCAGGATAATTCTCAATCAACGAATACTGAACGCCACATTGACGCTCGTTAATTACCACACAGTTGCCGAACAGATGTAACTCGACCTGGGACAGAGAAGAAGCTCTAGAACAAAGGAGGATGGGACAGTGTCTTGTTACACCTGGTCAACTGTGTAGTGGAAGTCAATACACCCCCCAAAACCTGCCCTACACCCACATTTGCTCCTTGATGATTCCATGGTGTAATTGGGGATAAGAGGCACTTTACCACTCAGGGACATCTCACAGCAGTGCTGTTGGCCTGTGTTCTGTTGACAGGTGGCTGTGCCTGTTGCCATGGTAGCATGGCAGCCCTTTGGGAATCTCCGGAGATGTATGGAGGACCAGCCACCAGTTGTCATCTTCTTCCTCTGCCTCCTCTCATTGGCTGTGACGTTCATCGGCTTTGGAGCTTACGCCCGATCACACGAGGTCAAGAACCCTGACATTGTCCAGGTCAGCCTTGCTCAATGCCCCCTCTAGCTTCTCACCCTCTCACTATAGAAACAGTGGGTCTGTACTATGAGTACGCAGGACGTGCATCTGTCACATTACCCCCTTTAAACCTTTCTCTGTATGTGCTTTTTAAAAATATGTTTAACGTTTAAGGGTTTTGATTAAACAAGTTGAGAGCAAGACATCTCTTTATAGCAAGCAAAATTTTAAAGTTTGATTGTTCTGTGTGTTTGTGGTTTTTTACATTTGGGAAAAACAAATGTCCATCTATATTATATATCATTCCCAGTTAGGAGCTGTCTGTAGTTTAATCCTCAGCTCTGCAGTGCATGAGGGCCTACAGACATGCTGCTCTGACATGCCCACCCGTCAGAGCGGCGTATTCACGCGAGGCTGTTCCACAAGGTTCGCACTGCCTTGTGGGAGAGACGATACCGATTGGAGGAGTGGCACGAGTCTCACTGACATCGCTGCACGCTTGCAGGCTTGAGTGGGAGCAGTGGTTAGCACTGCTGCCTGACAGCGCTGGGGCCCCGAGTTCAATTTGAGGCCTGGGGTGTTATCTGGATGGAGTTGTCTGTTCTCCCCACTTTTGCATGGGTTTCCCCCAGGTGCTCCAGCTTCCTGCCACAGTCCAAAAACATACTGGTAAGGCAGTTGGCCTCTGGGAGAACTGGTCCTGGTGTGAGTTTGAGCGTGTTTGTGTGTCTGCTCTGAGATGGACTGCCATCCTGTCCCGGGTGCCCTCTGCCTTGTGCCCATTGCTTGCTGGGATAGGCTCTGAGTCCTCTGTGACCCTGTATTGGATAATGGTTTAGTCCACAAAAGGAAGAGGTGTGATCCTGCTTCTCTGGTGTATGATGTTTTGAAACCCCTGCAGGACTGGAACCAGGTGTTGGGCTCTCTTGCAAAGCTGCGGTTCTGTGTGCTGGAGAACGGGACAGACAGCTCGACGGCGCCTCTGGTCACTGGGGAGACACACGCCTCTGCCCCTTTGGTGCAACACGAGACGCATGATGGGCATGTAGGCAACCCCTCCAGCGATCCCTTGGCTTTGACCCATCTGTCCATCGTTGGCCAGCTGGACTGGGCCCCACAGAGACAGGACCAAGACCCTGTCTACCTCTCGGCCACTCTCTGGGGAAAGCAGCTTGACTTTAAGGGTGATTATCCATCTCTGCTCCATCAGCTGCTTCTCATTGGTGTTTCTTCTGGCCTCTGAATCACAACACTGTGCATGAAGTTAGTAAACTTGTAATTAAGTCACAGGAAGGAGTACACTGATGTGTATATACCTCAGTCACCACCCTTTTGTAGGTTACAGTGCTCTTCATTAGGTCTTCCAACATGCTCTTCCAACATGAGTGGATGCTTCTTAAGATAAAAGCAATTCGGAAATAAAATAACGATTAAGGGAGCAGGAATCATTAATCTTGATGTCGTCCTAGTAGAAGGTTCTTGTTTGTGTGAAACTCACGATGGCAGTGTGCAGTTACTGTAGGTGCAGCCCTGATCCCTGGCAGATATTCAGATTCGGAGATCAGTCAGCCACAGCTTTCGCATCAACCCAGAACCACCTCACAGAAGCATGAGTCTTTGGCATTACAAAGCAGGGGCTGAGGGAGCCATGCAGTTTTGTGGATTGCCTGTTTTTAAAACATACACTTTGCCTCTGTGTTATAGTACAAATGCAGGTGCTTTTGGATGGTATTGTTGACATACTAAGATTCTGGTACAAGTCTAGGTAGATTATGTTGCATGAAATGCATGACTTAAACATTGTATTTGTTATTCTGTTGCTTGTGGCATTTAATGACAAGAAAATGCATTAGAGATAATATCTTACCTATTTCCATTTATCTGTCATTTCTGGTGCTTAATAATTAGCTGTTGCTGCAATATTTAAGATATGAGAGCAAGCATTCTACACAACTGGAGCACAATGTAATTATTTCTTTTGTGCTGTTCAAAATCTAGTCCCCCATCACCTGCAGCATTTAGATCACCCCAAAGAAATTAATATTAATATTCTCCTATCAACCATAGTCACGTTTGATCAGTAGCTTAAGAACAACAAATTATTTTCTGGGAAAGACTTGATTATTCTAGTCTCCCTTTTTAGCATTTTGTTTTGGTGTAAAGAATTACATGTGGGAAAAAAAAGATGTACTTTCCACAACAGACACAAAGTAGACACTGCAACCTGGAAAACGTCTGAGACTCTTGAGTCGGTCTTTGTAAACTTCAGTGAGGTGAAAAGGTCCAGTGTGAATCTGATGGTTTGCTTCCATTGCGCTTCGTGTCTCAGGTGCACCGTCATGACTGTTTGCACTTTGTGTCTCTGTATGAAGGCTCTGCAGAAAAGACGGCCCTGAATATATCGTTCATCCTGCCCTCGTGGTCTCAGCTGGCTGGCAACGGGTCCGAGCGTCAGTCAGGTCCCAGCCGGACTTGTATCGGCTTCAGCGCCCCGGCACGCCTCCTGCCCGACACCCCGTGAGTCCGCTGGGAAACTGGCAGCGCGGCGCGGGTGGCCGGCCAGTCAGGGAGCGACGCTCCTCCGGTGTAAATGAAGACGTTAGAGATGCACGTCTATTAAGATGAAAAGATACAAATGAGAAATTGACTTACTTCCTTTCCTCTTAGAAAAGCTGAAGAGAAATGCATCCTTCCTGCACATACTTTATTCATTTTTAATTCCTTTTGTATATTTGCCAGATCTAAGGATTGATCTCTTCTGCAGTACTAATTCTGTGACTGTATCGCAACCTTACTGTATGAGTTTGCTTTGCGTAAATGCTGTCATGTACTGATGTTATCAGAATTAAAAAGGTCACATCTTATTCACCAAGGACCTGAAGCAAAGCCTTTAAATGTTTAAATATTTACAGCAGGATGCCTGTTAATCTACAACATATATACAAATAATCCAAGCAGGGTTACAGTACAAAAGCATATAAAGTTTCGGCAGCATCTCAGCCAGGATTAGAAAGAGGTGACTGTACAAAAAATACGTATCATGATGGCTGCTACAGATGAATGGAAACTTGGAAAGCAGATGGGTTTTATGTTCCGATTGTGTTAAATGATTCCCTGGATAGGTTTATAATTAGTCTCATCTGATTAAAAAAGGATTAACAAAATCTCTGCCTGACCTGCAAGATTGAACCTGTAGTGTAGGAATTACTGACATGAATCCAGACTCTGTCTGCCGGTCCCTGTGCACTGGATTGATTATTACCTGCAGGCTGGGCTGGACTCCTGGGAGAAGGCTGGGCAGGACCACATGGTAATTGTGCAAGCTGTCCCTTGTCTCCCAAGAGACAATTAGCTTGGGTTCAGTCCGATGATGGGGCCAGCCCCCTGGGTGAAAAGCATTGACTTACCCTAGGGGATATTGATTAGAGAAGTAGATGTTTTAGAGATGGGCAAGAATAAACTTCTGGCTGATTTAGCTCATGTGCCTGCTGTTGCCTAATTGACCTGAGGATCTCATCCAGCCATTTCTTGAGAGTATGGGCTTTGACATTGTTGCTACCTCACTCGTTCCAGATTCCACTACCCTTTGCGTAAAAAGTGTCTCCTTTTATGAGTTGTAAATGTTCCACCTTTTAGTTTCCAGTTGTGTCCTTTGCTAAATGTTTTTTGTGTATCACTGCACATGCCTTTTGCATGCTAGTGTATTGGCTATACAACAGATCAACGTGGGTGAGTCAGTAGATGGACAAGTACAATAACCAGGAATATTTACTATTTGTGGGGGGAGAAATATCTGTCCATTTGATATTTAACAGAAAATGGATGTTTCTTGTTTAACTTAACAGTCACCCCCAGGAGTGTCCGACTGGCATGGACAGTAACTCTGAGCTTCCTTCAGTGAGAGCTGTTGTCTCGCCTCTGAGCTCCCAGGAGCCCCAGAATGCACTGGGCTGCTACAGCACTGTGTTCACCTCTGATCCCAAACTCACGGTTATGCTGTCGAAGGTGAGTCCTGCACAGGTCCAAATGGCTTCCTTTAACAAGTAATTTGAAAGACTGCAATATAACGAAGTGCAGGTTTAATTGTAACATTATGGGTTATACTTCTTGTACTTTGGTACTCTTGTTAGACTTCACACGCAGTTAGCTAGCACTGACAACAGAAGTGACTTTGTCATCCTGGAACCAGGCTACTCCTCCTAGTGTAAGAAAAAATGTAACGTGGTTGACAAGCCTTTCAAATTCAGTATAATCGTTCTTTATTTTTTTTTTAACTAAAGCATTCAGTAAAACAAGCAGAAGTCCACTCCAAATGCTTCCACTGCTTTCTGGGATTAGGATCAGACGTTGGTGGACTGTTTGATCAGCTGCCTGGGACAAGCTGTGACTCAGCCAGCGAACAACCAGTTTTTCTGCTCTGTTGATTTCAGGAGGACAGGGCTCTTGCTTGGCATCATTTGCTGGTGGTGAGTGTTTTTCTGCTGGCGCTGTGTGGCGCGCTCTGCTGTGCTGGGACCCTGTCCTGCTTCAAGGCCCGCAGGCACAAGAGCAGCGGACTGGACCTGCAGCAGAAGGTAACGCAAGAACTCCAGGGTGTAACTGTGAAGCACTGAAATTGTCTTGACAACAGTCCTGGAACACAAAGCAAATCCTTGACGCTTATATACACCAGGTGCACGCATGTTTTATTGAGACACATGTATGTGGTATCTACGCCACACAAGTAATGAAGAGCAACAAAAAAAGTTTTTTTTTAATCTATGCGTTGATGTGAATTCTGTGGCCATGTTTAAATGCTCTTTTCACTGGCTTCAGGCAGCATTTATTCCCTTTTTTATATATTGTGAGTGAGGCCAGGCTGGAGCAGATTTCTGAAAATTTGCCAGGACTGATTCTAACAGTAACAGCTGCAAATCTTATACACAACAAAACAATACAGTATTTTTTTTTACATTTTTTTCCATTATTAAAAACTACAGTTTAGGCATTTCAAAAAAGATTTACAGTAATTTCAAAATTATATAATTATAATTATATTTCCCCATGTGCTGATTAAGCATTCCTGATGTGTTCCACGTGTCCTGGAGTGCTTGAAAAAGAAGCCAAGCCTCAGTGGCCTTCTAAGAACAGCTGTGACTCCACGGACTTTGCTCTGACAGCTTCTTACTGCTGTGTCTGACTCTGCGGTCTTATGCTTTGACCGCGTGATTTTCAAGTGCCTTCATTTTTCGTTTGCAGGAGCCCTTGCTTGACTCTTGAGTCCGACATCGTGAATCTTGCTCTTGCCGTGGTCAGGTGTGGCATGGCAGCGTGGGGACGCCTCAGCGGAAATAAGTCTCCATTGTCCGTCTGTCTTCCTCTGGCTCGAATTACCAGTCAGCACTGTGCAGTGGGCGGAGGTATCTCTGCCTGTCCAGCCTGGATCACCTTTACAGATCTGATTATCAAATTATTTATAAAAGTTATAGAGCGGTTGAAGATACTGTTCCAGTTTAAGGGCCACCTGTTGAAAGGATTCATATCAATATCATAAGAAATAAAAAGGGTTTTAGCAAATGAATCTATTGCTTTTTGAGAGACCCACTGCAACGAGTCAATTGTTTTTCATCTTTTATAATAGTTGAGATGTTTTTGTAGTCTTCATAGCTAGCATTGCTTGCTGAAGAAGATATGAGGAGGGAGACTTCCAGACCTGAGGTGCCGTCTGTGTGGAGTTTTGTATGTTCTTCCTGGGTTTCCTCCCACAGTCCAAAGACACTTTGTTGGATTAAGTGATGAGAAGATGGATGGATGTAAAAAAAAAAAATCAGCTGTAAATGTGGTCAGGAAATTAAAAATACAAATGTAAGCAAAGTGTGTGAGACAGCATGATCTAAATGTTCCATAAACCTCACAAGCCTGTCCTTGGTGTCAGTGTAAAACAAGGTATCATCTTGCCAGCAATGTGTTGTGAGACGATTTTCAGTCTTGTGGTCATGACTTAATCAACGGGGGACCATGAAACAGCCGTGAGTGTCTGAATAGAGGTTTTTAATCCACTGGGTTTGGATTCACCACACTTCTGTGAAATGCAGGGGATGTGGTGAAGAAATTATCAAATCAAAACCAGGTCATCATGGAACAACCATCAGTTTTTGGCTGAGCTGCACTGTGCAGGTACAGCTGTAGGACTGTGCAGTGAATTTGACAGCACTGGAGACTGCAGCCTGGGCCTCAGTGCCCAGACTCTTCAGGCCCTAACAAATTCATTAGTTGAAGACTTTCAATGTTGAAGGCATTTTGGTTAGAAATCGTTCAGTTTGATTTGTACAGATGATCACTGAAGTTCACCCAGAGAACAAAACCCAACATCAACCAAGGACCAGGAGCTCAACCTGGTGCACCTGAGGACTGGAGCTTGACAACCTGTGGGTTAGAAATGGCTGTCTTCAGTTGTAAAGAGGGCACAGGGTCACTGTAGTCTTTGTATTAGAACATCATTTGGATTTTAAAAAAATGTGTAGAGAAGAGGATTGGTCAAGGTAATGGTTAATTCTTGCCTGATCAAGTCAGATCCCAGAACAGAAGCCAGGTTGGATGTGGTCAGAAAGAAGATTGTGCTGTAGGTGGTGCTGCGGGACCAGTAGGTGGGACTCTTCCCCTGGAATCAGAAATTCTAAAACAGTGACGCTCTACTGCAGGAGGTGCCATCCTTTGGATGAGACATTAAAGTGAGGTCCTGACTACTTGGTCATATACATAGTGCTACTATATAGCGATGGATTTGCCGGTGCATAGTTGGTCACCCAGGTGCGACGTCCCGGTTGGAATATTCTCGGTCGCATTTAATGGCAACGTCAGCTCAAAGATTTGTTTCAAACCACCAAATGGAGACGGGCGTGCCGACAAGCGGACCCTGCTGATGCGAGATTTATGCTAGGATGAGAGCGAGTTGGTCACCCAGGTGGATCCAGCACTTCAGTGGTGGAAAAAGTGGATCTTCTTCCATGTGTAACGCACATGTTGGATGAAAAGCCTGATGTTAATATGAATGAAAGAAACATGGCATTCAAACTTTCAAGCAGGACGCCAGTCTGTGGAGTTTCTACATCACAACACTGCTCAAGCTAGGAGCTGCTTTCACCTGCAATGGTTGACTCAACTAACCTGATGGTCTGCCCGATGTTATTTTAACTGTGTCAGAACACAAACCTGATACATACTCTTCTGGGTGTCCAGGGCTAACCATTAAAATTAAAAATAATATTGGAAAGGGAGGTGAATAATTCATTAACCTAATTTGAATTAAGAAAATATGAAATAGTTTCAGTGGTGTGGTGGCTCTGTGGCTCAGGATCTGCGCCTGTGGCTGCAGGGTTGCAGGTTCGTATCCCGCGGTTGGCAGAGGAATCCTACTCCGTTGGGCCCCTGAGCAAGGTCCTAAACCCCAACTGCTCCACGGGTGCCGTATAAATGGCTGACCCTGCGCTCTGACCCCAAGCTTCTCTCCCTGTCTGTGTGTCCATGGAGAGTCCATGGGGTATGCGAAAAGAAATTCCTAATACAAGAAATTGTATATGGCCAATTAAGTGATCTTATCTTAATATTACCGACATTATTTATCCAATGGTTGACAGCAAATTCAATCCATGGTGTAACTAGGAGTGTTGCACTTAATGACCTGCAAGGTGCAACTCAAATCACAAATCATTTTTTTTAAACTTGGGAGCCTAAACAATTGTAAACTCCATCGATTTTTTTGCGTCAAGTACGTCTAAGCCCTTTGACATGCTTTTTAAACAAACGTGCTCTAGAGCGTCAGTCTTCTTAATTCCAAGTTTGAAGATGTTACACTTAGATGCTAAAACCAATTGGACTGGAATTTGTTTTCTTCATCGGTAGGGTACCTTTTTTACCCTCAGACATTTGTTCAGAAAACTGGATTCCAAAGTTTCTACTACCTAAAGCAGCCTGTCAATATCCGTACTTCCAACAAAATGCATTGAGCAGAATCAGCTTTACAGCACCAAGAGCTGTGACTTAATGACTTACTAAGCTAAAATCCATTCATTTCTTGAAGCACCCTCAGAAATTTACTGGTGGAGTTGAGTTAGTTGTTCCAGACATCAACACCTGTGTGTGGAGAACATGTTTTATTAGTCCTGAAAGCACTTTCACTTAATTCCCACTTTTGTGAAGGAGCCAATGGGAAAGTTATCATCATGTTTTCTATCTGAACATTAAAACAAACATCTGATCTTAAAATAACGTCGTCAACTCACCTTTATTTAAGGACAAAAGCTGGAAAGCCATATTGTTAAAAGAAGCCTTTGACCATCCACTTTAATTTTACTAGAGTAATGTGACCCTGTGAATGAGGTTTTGAGTAATATTCCCTTATTTTTCCACAATGTGCAATTAAAACCAATTCACAATTATAGCTAGCACAGAGTTAAAGCTCCAAAGTATTACTAAGTACACTGTCCAATATGACTCCTATTTTTAATTAGGTACAAAAAGACATAGGGTCTCAGAGAAAGAAATGAATGCTACTGTATATCCTTTCCACACTTTATTTTGAGAGGCAGTACAAACTTGGCACGATGAATAACAAAAGACCATTCTTGAGGTTTAATGGCTTTTGATCAATTGTATTTCACAACTTTAAGCCAATCTTAGATCTTCTGGAAAAAGTGAGGTTGTTTTTTTATAAGCAGTAGTGTTGGGAGTATTCTGGAGTCCACAACTTTTCCACGTTGGCCCCTGATCACCAGAGCTAACTGATCTGCTCACTGCTTTAGACTTTAACTCAGTAGTTGGTTCCAAAAATACCCTGAAATGCATTTTTTACCCTACCTTCTAAATTGCTAATTAACAATTTGCTTCCTTATTTCTGACTAAATGGATCATGACAGCTGATTAATTGATGAACACACAGGTTATACTGGACAATTCCCACGGTGGATAAGTTTCTTCCTTCAGCTTAAATCCAAGCGGCTGTATTTATCTTAGTGCACCTGAATGACAGCTGTCCTGAACCAAATTAGCACACAGTCCATATCGATTCCAAGCTTCATTCACCTTTTTGATAATTTACAAGAACGTTTTAACAAAGGCATCAAATAGAAAATTGTAACAAACTGACTTGTGATTAAGAACTAAGGTGAAGAATATAGGTGAAACAGGACAGGGTCCGAGTAGCAATGCTACAGGCATTTTTTTAACCGAGGCCTGAAGTAGCAAAAAAAACAAGCCTACAATTACAGGAAGCAATTAACACTGGTGATTAAGGACCCAGCTGTGACACAAACCAGCAGACGTAAGGGGTATTCCAGCACTAAGAATAGGGGTACTCCCAAGGATTCATGAAAATCCACACCAGATTTTGCACGACTGATCTGCCACACGTAGCATTGAACATGTGATGGAAAGATCTGAAGGTTCCTCAATGGCACACAATTTTAGGAGCTCACATACCATCTAAATCACAACTTCTTATTCTCCCCAAGGCATAACATATTCCTACGCTGTGATACACTCTCCTATTACCTAATGGTAGCTGTTTCCTAAATCTACATTATTTGAAGCAGTTTATTCATTCCCATTGCTGCTTACATGAAAGATGTGATTCATCGATCATGGGCTTTCCTATGAATCTGTTCCAAGAAGATTCCTTCAGTGTCACAATTCCTGACCACCATTTCCCTTCCCCAGGAACACAGGATATCAGTACTGTTGGGCTGGGGGGTTATCACCAATAATCATTCACATTGAAAACTCACAGATCTCTCCAAATTAGACATGCATCAGGTGAAGAACCTGTTTGTGCAGCAACAGAAAAAGATCCAGGTTACTACTTCATTAGCATCTTAGGAGGCAATCCCAGTAGGAGCTCCTTCACGGATTGTCATTCATATGGTTTTGTTGAGTTCAATGTGTTTTGATCGTCTGGAAACTCATCGTTTTCAACGGGGGATTCCGCTAATGGGAGACATGGTGGCATAGCGCTGGGGCGCTGGGTTCAATTCCAGACCCAGGATCTGTGTGGAGTTTCTGCGTTTTCCCTGGATTTGTGTGGGTTTCCTCACACAGTCCGACAACATACCGGTAGCTTAATTGGACTTGAAGAACTGGCTCTGGCATGAGTACCCTGCCTCGTGCCTGTTGCTTGCTGGGATAGACTCCAGTTCCCGTGGGACCCTGAATTGGAAGAAGTGGCTAAAAAATTGATGCATTATTTCTTGGATATAGAAAAATGAGTGATAGGTTAGCAAAAATGTTTTCCAAACATTTGTACATGACATCATGAAATTGGTTTTTAAGGAGTGTTTCTGTAAAAAGAATCTGCTTAAAGAAACGTTAAATAAGATGTTCTCAAAATGCACATGATGTAATTAAGCAGAGAAATATATAAGATTACATCATTTAAAAACATTACTAAATTAAGTGTATCCAGAGTAGCAATCTTGAAACACGAGTTTCACAAGGGTTTTGAAACAGAGGTCTGAAGAAACATCTTGGGACTTATGGCACCCTTACAATGACTAGGTCTGATTCAGTTCGATTTTCTCTTTCGCTTGGCATCCTTATTAACAGGAACAGGTATGTTGTAAGACCTCAGTGGGGTAAAAAGCTGCCTCACACCCATCACTGTGCAGACTGGGGGAACCCCAGAACCCCCCAAAAATTGCAGCATTTGCTGCCTGCAAGAGTGACTATTGAAGCAACCCCACAAATCCCCCCAGTCCACCGGCCCCATCTCTGCATATCGAGAGCAATTTCTTCAGAAGTGCTCTTTCAGTTTTGAACCCGCTGCAACGACCCGAATGATAAAACTAACTGGAATTCCACTGAAAACGTGTCCGAGTTGATTTCATCGTGTGCCGTTTTCTTGACAATTTCCACAAAGTTTTTTTTTTAAATCCAAGCTCTTTATTGTAAAACAGCCACATTTCTCAACTGTAAGGCTGCTCTCTCACGGGAAGAAACCTGCATGTTATCATCTCATTATTCCCGGTTCTGTGAAGCATCACCGTACAAAACATGGCGGCCATTTCGTGCTCAGCTCCTGCACATTTTTAACATGGCAACCTAGCGAGGACCTCTGCTGTAAGTCTCTATACAGCAGCCATATTGTTTTTGCACATTGAAGCCCCGTGTTCACAGCCGTAATTACGAATGCAAACGTATAGGATAAAGATACAATGCAGAGGACGTTTATATCTTTAATTGCAATGTTCTTTCAAGATCATAATCTTCGAGGTAAGTGACCATGCTTTGCTTTGACACCATCTTTACAAACTCGTTCAGTTGTTATTATTACCAACATACCGACAGGACTCTAACAGCTCATGCAATACGATTAGTTCCCTTCTGCAATAAAGACCACAGCCTATGCATCGGAGCTCGTAACACAAAGTCGAAAAAACGTCTGCAGGCTTGTCCCTCTAACATCACTTACCGTACAGTGCTACGAGGCGCTTCCTTAAGTACCTGTAGTCTATAATCAGACACATCGCTAGTTACTGCACATTTGAAAAATAAAACGCTCATTAGAATGAAGTAAGGCTACTATACTTCTGACACATAAAGCTACCCTTATTTAAAAAGTGGCGATAAGCTCTTATTTTGCATTCAATTCGTTCACTTCTTTCCCAAAACATGGCCTCTTGAATTTCTCCTTGGGCCGTCAGACTGAGCTGCAGTGAGAGCATGGTGGTACAGCAACAGCATTGCTTTTCGGGGGTAATAAAAAAGACGGTTCGGCCAATTAGGAGTAGGCGCCTTTCGTTTTTTGTTTTCATCGTGTAAGGCCAAAAAAAAGAGGGTTCCGGCTTAGCTCTTAGCTCTGAGCCTGATGCAGCAACAGCTACCCCAGAGCCTGCTGAGAAGCACAGCTCACTCTCACCCGGACTGAAGCTGTGGGAATGCACCCTGGTCACATGGTCAAGAACTATGCGCTTCTCCCCCGGCACGTGATCAACGGGACAGCCAATCAGACGTCGGGAAGGTCGGCGCGGTATCGTCCGATTGGCGGATCCTCTCCGGGAAGGGGGCGGGCTCGGTGGGCGCTCGGCAAGACTTTTGTTTCTGTGTGGACGAACCCAGGAGGTGCAGTTGGAGGTTTTTTTTTTTTCCGCGGCCTTCGGAGGTGTCTGCTTTCCGTCTCATAGAAAATATTAATAATAGGAACTCAAACTCTTCTAAGTTGGCCGTGGACGGAAGCAAACGCAATCTGGAAGCGGAGACGAAGGGCATTGAGGCGGCTAGCAACAGGACAGCAGGGATATCGCCCAATGACCACTGCCAGGTACACACTTGAGGAAGATTTGGGAGATAGAGAGGGGGGGGCTTTGAGAGCAGTTAAAAACGGGAAGACAGGGGGCTGTAACTGAGGCTGTGGTGTCGTGCGGGTGGGTGTTTTGCTGGATCTGGGAGCTGGACAAGTTCAGACGAAGCCCAGCCTTCGGAGGGCCTCCCACGTGAGGGATCCGAGCTGCGGCGCGAGAAGGGGAGTGCACCCCTGTCTGCAGGCAGCCGCGACCCCCCAGACTGGGGCGAGGGCGGGGGGCTCAGGATCAGCGGCGCAACTTACCGGTCAGGAGGTGGAAAGCGAGTTACCGCGGTGAAATGACTCCTGGTAATACAGCACGGTGCGTGAAAGATCGCGTGGTGGGTTTTGATTGAACGACGCGACGGCCGTAATGGAGGCACAGCGCTGTGTGAACTTCGTGATTTGCCTTCGAGTCTTGTTCCATGAATGAGGGCGTGCATGCGGGCTCGGCAGCGTCGGAGCATGTTGCAATGCTGAACCGGCCACTTGAATACAGACTGGTGCATCAGCAGATTCGAGCAGTTCCTTGAAGAAGGATGGTTTTAAGGTCACTCTTTTTTTTTCACTTGCAGGGAAGAAAGGATGACGGACATGTCTTCTAGAGCGTTTCTGGGCTGACCTTGCATCGCCTGCAGAGCTGGTTGAGATTTCTGCCCAGGAGGGTCGCTGAGTTTTGTAACCCCCCAGCAGGGGCTGACGTTCTGGGGAGCATGGCCTTCACCAACTACAGCAGCCTGAACCGGGCTCAGCTCACGTTTGAGTACCTGCACACAAACTCGTAAGTATCCGATGGCTTGGATCTGTAACGTTGTCGGACCATTTGAGGTGCATTGCAGTTTTTTGGGGGGGGCTTCTGCCCATTCTGTGATCACCACCTGTTGATCGGTTGGGTTGCTATTTCGTCCCTGTTGTGGCTTAGGAAGGGCTGATGATGAAGACAGTCCAGGCTTTCCTTCAGAGTGCACACCTGTCAGAACTGCACACAGCGCGTGGCGCATGTCCCAGATTGTTGTTCAGTGATCAGCGGAGTGATATGGATTTCACTGGCAATGCTGAAAGCTCACGTGCAAATCCCAGGTGTTGTGGTCTTGTGTTAAGTCAGCTCCAGCCCCCCCGCCTCATGGCGTGTAGCTAATTGTGTGTTGCTGCTTGGGAGACCCCAGTCACAGGTGGCTAATTACACAGTTCTGGTTTGTGGTGGTATTGTTCCTGATCATCAGGCTCAGCCTGTGGGCAGCGCAAGTGTCTTAGCAGGTTGAGGCACCCAAAAGCCCCTTGTTGGAAGAAGTTTTTTACAGGACATACTGTTAATATGTGGAGTAACATGTTTTTTTAATCATGCAGATGTTGAGAATATTCTTAAGAATACAACAACAAAATCGGAATGAATTATAGACCCCCCCTCGTTCCCAAGCCTCAGGCAGCTCATGTTCCCTGCCTGAGTGAGGCTGAGCTGTGCGTTCTGCCGGTTTGTGTCCTGTCATGCTCAGTGGGTGTTGCCCCAGTTTTTTGTGGCAGGTCAGTCCTGACCCCTCTTCAGCCCTGTTTGCACAGATCCAAAACCTCGGAGTGGTGAATCCCACGGCTGTAAGCTCGGAAAAACCTGACCTGGGAATGGTCTCCATACTGCCTAGAATTTTCTACAGTGCTTGAGTGCAGTCCACCCCTTGGTCCTTGTCCTTATGGCGAAGTGTCAACGTAAAAGGAGTAAGGAGCTGTTATTGCAGAGGTCTGCAGTGGATTTGAGTTGGTGAGGCTGCAAGCTAAGCAGCCTGGCTCTGAAGTGTTGCAGTCATGTTTTGTGTTTAATTGTTTTTGTATAATCAGTGTTTGTGTTGGGATCTTACTTTTGGCATTAGTCTTATTGCTTGGTGCTGTACTTTCTAATGTTGATAAATAACCAGTGTGGAGAGGAAGTTATTTTTAATTAGGTAAAACAGTAGCTATTTCTGAGGAGATGCTAAGTTACCATCAAAGAGATGAAAGTGTAGTACCATGGACAAAAAATGTTTTGTATTGTGAAGTCAGAATTGTTTCCTGGGTATCTTCAGTGTAACACTTGTTGCGGTGTTTGTGTTGAAGCGTGTTTGGCATGAAATCTTTTCTTGAAGGGGGAGTGAAAGGAGGACCTGCATGTCCTGTGTCCTCAGTGCCATGCAGTGGAAGAGGTGGTGTTTTCTGTGGTTACAAGTAGCCGTTACAGTGTGAAGAGGCCCTCTTGAGCTATTTTTACACAGAACTGTGGTGCTGGGAGAAGCCCCCACCCTGTGAATTAGAAATGACTGGTATTTTCACATGTTTGGATTGTGGGACTATAGGATTGAAAGCTCTGCTTCCAGCCTACAGTTTGCCATGTGAAGGAGACGTTGAGAACCAGCCACTCCAGTACAGACAATCCTGCAGAGGCTAAATAAAGAAACTTTCAGAGTCTTTTGTAGGAGTTCACTACTGTAGTGTGTTCTTAAAGCTCTGCATGTGTTTGTCAGTGTTTGAGTGACCAAGGATGTGGTCTTATTAAAAAGTCGAAAAGGTCATTTATGAGTCAAAAGGCTTATTACATGTGTGCTTAGATTGCCTTCTTTTCTAGTTGACAGAGGTTGCGAATTCTTGTTTCTGACAAAGAACATTTCCCCTGTTATATTTGGATGGTTCTCCTGTTCAAGGTGGTTTTTATTGCATGGAAGAGGGAGGTGGGCAGGCTTCTGTGTCTTTTGCTGTTCATAAAGCCATCTGCTTCATTTTATTCTCTGTGATGCTCAAATGATAAAGTTTCTGAATGTGTGTCATGCTGCCATGTAACACAACACTAAACAGAGTAACAATAAATCTTTCTTGGAAAAACGTTTTAATAGTTGTATTCAGGTGGCATATATATATATATGATTAAAATTAAATTGTCTTTGTATATGACCAGAGTTGATTTTTAAATAAATAAACTGAAACTTACTGGGCATTGTGAAGAACTTTTTACTATTCTGCTTTAGAAATCAAAAGTGACAAGCAGCTCTTGAGGGATCACTGTTTTCTTTGGACCTGATGAGAATGAATTCCCTTCACAGTCAAAAAACAGTCACATGGTACTTACTGACCAGCCCTCGTCTTGCTGATTGGCTTACTCTTCCAGATCTTTGCTTGTGGGACATGGTAACAGGTGTCTACCTGATCGGAGTCCAGAGCTGTTGACCCTTGACCCGTCTTCTGCCCTCTTAAAAGAGATCTTCATTATTTGAAAGCCTTCTGATCGTCTCTGGACACAAAGATTTGAGCTCCATCTTCAAGGGGCGCTGTGCCTGTGGCTGGAAGGTTGCCGGTTCGTATCCCGCGGCCGGCAGAGGAATCCTACTCCGTTGGGCCCCTGAGCAAGGACCTTCACCCCAACTGCTCCAGGGGTGCTGTATAAATGGCTGACCCTGCGCTCTGACCCCAGGCTGCTCTCCCTGCCTGTGTGTCTCATGGAGAGCAAGCTGGGGTCTGCGAAAAGACAACTTCCTAATACAAGAAATTGTATATGGCCAGTAAAGTGATCTTATCTAGTTGTTTTCAAGTGTGTGTTGAAGTGGCAGGGCTTTCTGCAACAGACCTGGTAGCAGCATAGTGGTGACCACCACCCTTGGGTGTGTTAAATGTGGTTTGGTAAATTTAGTATGGACAACAAGTGTTTTTCACCACTTTGACTTTAACTATTAACATAAATGGGCTCTGTGACTGCTGGTCTCTTTTAATTTTGTTTAAAATGTCCTCCTTTCAGATAACAGTTACACCTTTGCAGTTTATACCCTTAAGCGCTACATTTCTGGGGAGTATAACTCTGCACTGAATTTGTTTACCATTTCAATTTGTAGTTAAACCCTGGAAAGATAATTGGTATTAGAGGCTTGCTTAATTTGACATGTTTGTATAATCCGTTTGTTTGCAGACTTTTATTTTGAGATGCTAATATAAGACTGAGTCATACATTCCCAAGTTACTCTCGTCCCCATATCAGTCTGAAACTGCAGGTTTTTGTTTTGTTCGTGCAATTTACCATGTCCAAAGGAATAAAAGTGTTGCTTACACATAAAAGTAGATCAAATTCCAGCTTTAAATTAATAGGAAAAATAAGGCGTTCAGAAGGCTGAATAAATGAAGGGGTCAGAAAGATACCAAAATGTCTAGATCATTCAATATAAATATTATTTGTTTGCTAGCAATATTTCTTTAAAGATGGAGACAATATCGAAATAGAGTAACTTCAAGAACCTGTTCAGAAATGAAGACCCTAGGTTTTTAGAAGAATGAAGAATTGGAGGAATGCAGTGCCCTTCACTGATTGCACGTTATGTGTGCAGTAGTTTGTACTGCTGTGTTACAATGAAGACTTATTACAACAACCCTACCTCATGCACTGGGACACACAGACAGGTGAAGCTGGAAGGCTGTGGAGCCCTACATGCTGGCTGAGTGTGACTAGGGTGAGAGGTGACAAGGAGCAGCATGACCATAGCCTAGCCATAGAAACTCGTCAACTCGGGCAGACCTGGCTACCGAGAAAGGACATGCTACCCTCCTGCCAGCAGGGAGAAGCAGTGATGCACATTCTGCCACACAGCAGGAAGTCATCTGGCATTAGGAAGCCATCCTTCCACAGAATAACACCTTCAATCCCAGCATTTCCACACCTGGTAGAACTGGAACAGCCCTTGATCCTACTGGAGGAAGGGGCTGGTGATTCAGCAAGTGGTATCTCCGTATGTGAGCCAGAGGAACAGAGGAACTTGAGCCTCTCAAGTAATATTATTGTATTGTCATTAATGTTTGTGTGGTTATTAATTTTTACTGCTTTGACAATACTAATTTGTCATGCCAATAAAGTTATTTGATTTTGAAGTAACTTCCACATCATTTCTTCCCTCTCGGACACTCTCAGTTTCTGAGTTTTCCTTGCTCTAGCTGTGAGAGCACCAAGCAAGAGGCTCTTGGTGTGTTCTTGGGATCTGTCAACTACAATGTGACTGTGCCTGCAGCTGAGCAGCAAGTCACAAAGCACCTTAACATACCGTCTCCCTTGTTGGTTGGGTCACATCAGTACAGTTCTTGGTACAGGGATTGTAATAGGTTGGGCAAAATAACTGGGACAAGTCAGATCAACTCTACAGACGAGGGGTGGTCTAGAAGGCCAATGCGTTACGGATTGTGTCACACCCCCTCCATCGTGAACTTGCACTACTCCCATCTGGGAGACGTCTCTGTGTCCCCAGGTGTAGAAGTAGCAGACTCAGGAAATCTTTCATTGCCACAGCTATATCGCTCTCAAACAACATCAGGTTACTCTCATGTCCTGTAACACCTGCTGTCTTCTTTGTCTTGTTGTGTTAGACTGTGCTGTGAAAACAGATTTAAATGAACTGTCAGCCAGGGATCCTCTTACTTACCCAAACCCCTATGAGGGGAGTTGTTCGTCGTTCATCGTTTTTGGAAGTGGGAGAGTTGCAGGAGGCCTTATGAATCACAGATCATAATAAAGGAAACGGAGACGGTTGAGGCTGGCTTAATAAATTACCATTAACAATATTGTAATAATAAACAAGTAGCTATTTACCATAAGTAAATAATAACACAGAAGTATCTTGTTACCCATTAAAGGCTAAAGACATTGTTGTACTTAGTGCTCTATGCCAGTCTATTGCTTGTATTGACCACATAAGCTCTTACAGATGAAACAGCTGGGCCACTGTATGCACAGGGTTAAACATTCTGAGACGCACCTGTTTTCTATCAGTGTGTAGAACTGAGCTCTGGCTTCGTTCTTGTCCCAGATGAGTTTGGTACACCTTCAATCAGTATGAAGACGATTTCTCACTGTTCTTGGAGGGAAATGTACCTTGTTCAGTGTGCCTTGAACTTCTGATGAGTACATCTTCATGCAGTGTCCCTGGTGATACCCATTTGATTAGCCTGCTGTCTTTGGGGTCTCTTTCTCAGTGTCATTCACAACGTCATCGCTTGCCTTTGTGAGTTTGGCAAGTCTTTGTGTAACAAGGATCACCTGTAGATGAGTAAAAAAGTAAGTTGTAAAGTTGTGTGTGTGTCGCATGTTTCTCTCTTCTTTCATCGAGCCTGTGTCTTGCAGCCATTGTTTCTTTGGAAATGTCTGCAAGGCTGGGGGTTGTGTTTCTCATGTCTGACTTCCTTTCCGGGCCCTGATGACTGCTGACAGTGTCGGGCTTCACTTGCTGTAGCTCTGAAATGTGCACTATTGTGTTGCAGGGAAAAAGGAAAGAAACATCTGTTTTAAAAGCTAAATGGCTTTTTGTTTACACTAAAGCAAATTAAGAGTGCAGTGCTTCTTCACCTCTGATTTTTTGGACAGTGTGAGACATTCAGCACATTCAATGATTTCTGTGGTTGGGGCTTTGAGGTCTTGCTCTCCTTAATTCCTTCTAAGAGCAGCAGGTGGCTGAATTCCTGTCCTAGAGTTGTCAGGGGTTGGTGCATACACTCACACGTTTTATGTGTTTTTGGCAAAACCTGAAATTTGCTGTGGATCCAGTCAGGCTAAATGGCTTCCTGTTTGGCTGACTTGGGACTGGAACACACTGCACTTCTCGGCTCTAGTGTCTCGAGTTCAGTTCTGTCTTGACGTGCTCTCCGTGTAGCATTTACAGTTTGTTTTCTCTCGGCCATGTGGAAGCTCCAGGTGATAGATAGATAGATACTTTATTGATCCCGTGAGGGAAATTGCAGTGGAACAGCAGCTTAATACAGTCAACACAGCACAGTGTAACGAATGATACAATAATAATACAAAACACACAATACAGTCAGTACAGTCAGTGAGTGAGGTGCTCCAGTTACCTTCCGTAGTGGAATGTAGGAATGTTGTCTGAGGCTACCGGGTAACTCTAAATGGTCCGCCCTCTGCCTGAGTGAATGTGTATCCCATCCATTATCTGCACATTATCTATACCACTACAGGACCACACTGCATCGTGGTCCTGTATTGGTATATACGGTCCCGAAAATGACCACGTGGTTTCTGTTGTCTGGACTATCAGGATGTCTCCTGCACAGCCCCCAGTGTCGGTGCAGTTACAGTGGGCCTTGGCTGCACCCCTGTTCGGCTAATGCAGTTTGCTGTTCCACCCAGACAAGTTATTATTTTAAAAAACTCAGTATCGTTGTCGCATAATTTGAGTCAGTCATTTCTTTTCACTCTTTCAGGACCACTCATGAGTTCCTGTTCGGAGCCCTAGCTGAGCTTGTGGACAACGCAAGGTACAAGTCCTCTTTCTAGCCTGCTTTCTTCCTTTCATCCTGGCTCGCCGTTTGTGTAGATGTTCAGCTTAGCGCAAGGTTCTCAAAGGGAAGGTTGGTATGTTTAGCTCATTACTTGAGCAGGGTAGCCTAAGAAGAAGTTTAGTTCCATTTATAAATCAGTTGAGGTAGTGCAGAAACTGTCATTTGTAACCACAGAATATCTATTTGCTGCCTCTTCCACTTCCCACAGATCATATCTAATGTTGTTTTGTCTTTGCAGGGATGCGGATGCTACAAGAATAGACATCTACACAGGTAGTTTTCACATACTGCGCTCAGCCATCTGTTTCTGGTACTGTGTCTTCAAACAGTATGGTTCGTTTGTCTGACAGCTGAGTATGGCGGGTACTCTGACTTCTGATCTGAACCGAGAGGAAGGTGTTTTGGTGTTTTTATGTTTCCTCAGGCGCTGGCTGTGCTGTAGTTATTATGAGGACAGCCGCTGCTTGCGGAAAGAGCAGAGTAATGTGATGTGTTCATGAAAGAGCTCTCAGCAAAGGGAACAGCTGCAGAAATACAGGAGCCCTGAGTGCAAAAACCGTATTTGCAGATTTTTTTGTTGAAAATATTTCCAAAATAGTTTCTTCTATGCCTCTTTTAAGTTTGTGGCCACTTATCTTAGCAAGCAGTAGGAAGGGTTCTTACTAATAAATGGAAAGTACTTTGTCAGTACATAAGCCTCCATCTGTTTGTACTGTGGAATCGCCTGTTGCTGTCACCATCTTCTTCGCGCCTCATCTCATCAGGTTCGTTTTGAAATATAATGCTCAGCGGCTCACAGTCTTGAACCTTAGCAGTTTGGTTGGTTTATGTTTTTGCTGTGCATACCTTAGCGAATTAAAACTCTCACCTTTTAAAGTAAAATGGATTTTAAACCCAATTTTGCTCTTGCCAATCGTTTTATTGTTCTGGCCAGATTGTGGGGTGCTTCTGTGTTTTATTTTAAACTGACTTTTAAGTCACCTGTTGACTTTTGTTCTGTATATATTGTTCCAGTTAATCACGTTTGGAGAGATTCATCCCCGTTTCCAAATGAGGCAGAGGGTTCATAGCTCTAATTTTATGAAAATATTTCATTTGCAAGTCTTAATGTATCTATCTTACGAGTTTTCAAAAGTGGGTAACGTATTTTAAATTGCTAGGTGCTCACGTTCTGAGTAGCTGAACTGGCTAAAACAAGCAAGTTCACATAAAAGGCCAGAATCGTAGGTCGTGTTCGGTCCGTATGTGTCAAACGTGGGGAAGCCTCATCCGTAAGCTCCTCATGCTGTCAGGATTAAGTGTCTGTCTCTGTGGAGCAGGGCGGCGTTGTCTCTCTGGCCCACTTTCTGTCCTCTCCTCTCCAGAGAAGAAGCCGGAGCTGCGTGGTGGGTTCATGCTGTGTTTCCTTGACGATGGGACTGGAATGGACCCCAGTGAGTACAAGCCTTGCTGTGGATTTAACCATCTGTTTGTGTGTAAAACAGTTACCTGTCAGCATTCGTAATGGATGTTAATTGCATGAAAATCTGCACATATACGAATATGTTCAAGTAAGTAGCTGCGTCGGCAAATAAACCTCCATATTCAAATATGTCATGGATATCCCAGTGACGCAGTTTTTAGTATTGATGGCTCATAGCATGTGGGCTTCCTCTGGGTGCTCCATTTTCCTCCCACGGTCCAAAGACATGCTGGTGGATTCATTGGATTCTGGGAGAATTGTCGCTTGGCCTGAGTGTGTGTGAGTGTCCTGCGATGGACTGGCGACCTGTCCAGGGTATGCCTTGTCTTGCACCCGCTGCTTGCTGGGATAGACTCCGGCTCCCCTCTGACCCTGTACTGGATAGATCGGTTAGAAAAGGGGGGGATAGGTGGAAACATGCCACATGCCACATGCTCATTTCTCTTGTGAGGTTTGCCGCATTCGTTTTTGGTTGCAGTGTTGTGTTTTTTCAGTTCATTGCAAGTGTCTGCTTTTTGCATTCTGCATTCCTAAAACCCCAAACGCATCTGTGAAGCAAAGTCAGAACAGCGTTTCTTTGTTTGAAAACGAGATGTGCAAGATGGCCCAGAATGTTTGGGAACAGCAGTGGCTGCGGTGATGTTTTAGCTTCTTGGATAACTAGATCACAAGGCCTTCCTGATGGCTTTCAAGAGACTCGGCTGGCCTTTGCACTTGCATTCTAAAAAAATCTGAAGCTTGCACATCTCAAGGCAATGCAGGTGTGTAATGAGCAGTTAAATATGGACCTGTGGCTTTCAAAGGATGGAAACGTGTTACTGTTTGTCTTTGGCCGCTGATCAGGCTCTCTGTCTGTTTTTGCCAGGTGAAGCTACACATGTGATACAGTTTGGAAAATCCAGCAAAAGATCCCCAGAGTCAACGCAAATCGGGCAATATGGCAACGGGCTGAAGTCGTAAGATCCATTTTCACATCCCGTACTTCGAAGAGGGATCGGGCGAAGCGCCCAAGGGGTAGTGTGACTGCAGTGGTACAGCTGATGTGTTCACATAACGCGAACAGCTGTTTCCCTCTTGATATCTGTGCTCCAGCTTAGAAGCCCCACTGCTAGCATTCCAGAATCCAGGCATGAAGAACGCAGATAGCGCCGCGATGCACAAGTGTCTGAGCACTGGTGCTGTGCTTATCTGTCCCAGGACGGGGTGTGGTTGCAGCAGTAAAGCTGTCCTGAAGTCCTAAATTAATCTGAATTGGGCAGTATGAAGGGGGAAGTGAGGAAAGTTTTGCGATGGTGGTTTTTCAGACGTGAGGTGAGCTTGATTCTGAGAAAGGGCGCCTTGTCTCTGTTCCAGAGGCTCCATGCGAATCGGAAAGGATTTCATCCTTTTCACCAAGAAAGAGGACAAACTGACCTGCTTGTTCTTGTCGCGAACCTTTCACGAGGAAGAGGGCATAGATGAGGTGAGTGCGACAGCAGAGCATTTCCCTGTTTCAGTGCTAAAAGCAGAAAGATCATCATCTGAATCCTGGCCAGGTGCTTCACTGAACATATAAAGGTGTTGTGAGACCTAAGCTTTAGCTTGCTGAGAGATGTTTTACTGTGCTTTGCGCATTTGTAAGCTAAGAGGGTAAAATATGCAACAGTTTAAAAAGAAACACGTGTTTTACCTCAGGTGATCGTGCCCCTGCCTACATGGGATAACAAAACCAAGCAGCCAGTCACAGACAACCCTGAGAAGTTTGCCATCGAGACGGAGCTCATCTACAAGTACTCTCCGTTTAAGACAGAAGCACAGCTCATGGAGCAGTTCGGCAAGATTGAAGGGGACAGTGGTAAGGATCTGTGGACCCCAGGATCCATTGAGATTATCTACTGGTGGCCATCTGTTGACCTGTTGTTAAGGGCTTCTTGCTGGGAGCTGGTTTCGCACGGTCTCACTGCTGGCTGGTGTGTTCGCTGTCTGTCCAGGGACTCTGGTCATCATCTACAACCTGAAGCTGATGGACACCCGGGAGCCGGAGCTGGACGTGGAGACGGACCCGCGGGACATCCTGATGTCGGGGACCCCCCCAGAGGGAGTGTGAGTGCCTGTTTGGGGGGGGGGGGACGACTCTGATCCACAGTTCATACAGAACAGGTGGAATAGTGAAATGAAAAGAACTTGAAGGGACTTTGCTTGTGTTTTTTTAGGGTCTCTCTCTCTCCTGGGAAGAGACCTGACAGCATTAGAATAGAAGGAGTTTGCATTATAATCATTTACACACAGACAGGTTGACGTTTTTCACTCCAGAACAGAGATTCCACTTTCAGATCAAATTCTGCTGAAATACAAAGCAGTGGAGAAGGACGGCACACTTTTCCTGCTGTGTTGTGCCACTGTTTTTGAGAAGAGAATTGAGTCTTTGTCCTCCAGTCTTTTTTGTTTCGTACATAGATCCGTTCATCTATTTTATCTCTGCTTCTTCCAGTCAGAGGAGAGCCGGAGCCTATCCTGGTGGGCGCAATGCAGCTTACGCCCTGGTCGAGCAGCCAGCCCATCGCAGGACACACACAGACACACACTCACACCAGGGTTTTCCCAGAAGCCGCTTAACCCACCAGCATGTTTTTGGACAGTGGGAGGAAATTGACGCATGCAGAGGAAACCCACACAGACACACAGAGAACATATATACGTCGCTCAGATAGAGCCCTGGGATGGAACACAGCAGCGCTCATCGCTGTGTCGCCCCAGACACAACCTGTGCCCAGCTAGACTAGACTGTTATGGCCTTGTCTACGGCAGGGGGTGGGTTGAGCTGTGGGGGCAGAAACATCTACAGAGGTATTTCAATGCAAGTTGTCCATGTCCACAGGAAACCAGAGAGGAGGTCGTTCAGAGCCTATGCAGCTGTCCTCTACATCGACCCCCGAATGAGAATCTTCATCCAGGGACACAAGGTCCGCACCAAGAGGCTCTCCTGCTGCCTCTACAAACCAAGGTACCTGTCACTGCAAGGCAGCAGAGTGACTCTAAAGCCTCAGAGATCCGTATTGAATTACATATATAATTAAGTTAAAAAAACTAAACATTGAGGTTTTGCTATAAACTCTGCAGTAACAAACCAAAGCAACACAAATTTGGGACGAAACGCTAACATATTTGTTATTGTTATATTTGTTACTTCCAACCCATGTTCGCATGTTACAACCCTGACTTTGACACCTGCAGATCAAAGGTAGATTGACTTTTTAAAGTTCCGTTTTTTATTTGTTCTAATATGTTACATTGTTTTTTGGTTAAAGGTTTGATTGGCCCTGTTCATTTAGCTGGAAGTTTAAAATGACTTAATTTTTTTTATAATGCCAACTTCTTGCATTCTCCTTAGAAAACTCTTTATATGTGTGCGTATTGCCATTAATCCTCTTGCTACTAGTACTGCTGTTGGGGTTTTAGGTGCACATCAATTCTGCATGCTTCTTTTGCATTTAGTGCAAATGCTCTGCATCTTTGTACAGTGGAATTTATCGTCACTGCTTTATGACATTATAAACACATGCCAGTTATTCTTGAATTCCTGCACAAAACCACCTGGAATTCTGCACAGTTTTCTGAACTTCCTTTCCCCCTCGTTCTTTCCCCAGAATGTACAGATACACATCGACGCGTTTTAAAACGAGGGCAGAGCAGGAAGTGAAGAAGGCCGACCACTTGGCCAAAATAGGTAGGCTGGGTAACCTCAGTTTTTTTTTGCTATGTTATTTCTATGTTATGTCGATCCTTTTAATGGGTGGGTGCTCTTCTTGCAGCTGAGGAGAAGGCGAGGGAGGCGGAAAGCAAGAGTTTGGCGCTGGAGGTGAAACTGGGAGCTGACCTCACCAGGGAGGCGCGGGTAGGAAGCTGTTCTTGCTCAGACAGTGCTCGCTCTTCGAATGAGGAACGGGACTCTGTCCTGAAGCACGTAGACACAGGGCTGCCATTCGACCGTTCCGCAGTTTGGGAGCGGGGGTTGGGGGGCTGTATTTCCGTCCACGCTCTCCCTCCCACATCCTCCTGATACAGCTCGGCTCTTGTTTCAGGTCGTGCTGCGCAAATCGCAGGACTCTGCTCTGATGCTGCGCAGGGAGGCGGAGGTGAAGAGGAAGATCCATGAGGCCAAGCAGAGGTGAGATGCAGAAACCATAAATGCATAGAAATAAATGTCCAGGATCACCTCTGAGAAGGTTCTGGAGTGTGTGAATCAGATGAGTTTGCTTTGGCTCCTCAGCTCAGTCTAGGGGTGGAGCCTAATGGGATAATACAGTTCTGTGTCACCAGCGCAATGTGCCCTCTCTTCCATCTCCTGTGCTTTGTATCTGCAGTCCACACTTTTCTCACGTCTCTCACTCTCGTGATGTCCTCCTCCTCAGAGCCCTCAAGGAGCCCAAGGAGCTCTGCTTTATTTTCGGGGTGAATATCGACCAGCGGGACCTTGATGGCATGTTCGTGTACAACTGCAGCCGGCTCATCAAGATGTATGAGAAAGTCGGGCCGCAGCTTGAAGGAGGAATGTGAGTCACATCTGCGCTCTGCTCTGCACCACACAGCACCTCTAATGGCTGTTTCTGCCGAAGTGTGTTAGTGGCCAAGTGGCATTTTTACTTGGCTCGGTGAGCTGTGATGCTAGATTTTCTAATTTGTCAGGGAATGCAGTACAGAGGTGGCTTTCATTAAATAAAATGTTTGATTTTTAAATACTGCGGTGTGATCTGCTAGTGCCACTAGCTATTGTTGCTTTTGCAATTGAGCTGTAGGGATAAATGTGTTCACGTAATCATGATAATAATTGCTTACCCTTATATAGCACTTTTCTGGACACTCCACTCAAAGAGCTTTACAGGTAATAGGGACCCCCCCCCACCAACACTCGTGTGTAGCCCCCATCTGGATGATGTGCCAGTACGCTCACCACACACCAGTGGGGAGGAGAACAGAGTTCATAGAGGTTGATCCAAAAGCTCAGAACCCAATAATAATCAGTGCCCAGAAGTTATGTTCCAGTTCAAAGGTAATGATGAGACTCCAGTGTGCTTCAAAGATCGCTGCTGGCAGAATTGAGTTTCGGGGTGTCACTCTTCCCTGTGCAGGGCATGTGGGGGTGTGGTGGGCGTGGTGGACGTGCCGTATCTGGTGCTGGAGCCCACCCACAATAAACAGGACTTCGCTGACGCCAAGGAGTACCGCCACCTCCTGAAAGCCATGGGAGAACACCTGGCACAGTACTGGAGGGACATTGCCATTGGTGAGAACAGCAGTCTGCCTCCTTGCTTTCCTTCATCTTCCTCACTGGTTTAGTCTGAACCACCCCCACTTGTGAGATGTCAGATTTAAAAACCTCAGATTTAATTGTTTGCCCTGTAGTTCCAGTGGGACGCAGTGAAACCAATGCGGTTTCAAACACCGCAGGGTGTGGATCCTGACATTTTCAGTCATGATTCAGTTACGCAGGCCTAACAGAAACCTGAAAGTTGATTTGCTTAGGCATGACGAATCTAAGGGGGGAAAAAAAACAGGATAGTGGCAAAAATAACAAAGGAAATAAGATGTGTTGAAGAAATATAGCATTCTGGAATATTGGTTACCATTCTCATAATTTTAAAATCACATTGTTGTATGAAATACTCTTGAGCTTCAAATGCTTGCTTCTGATTGCACCAAGAAATCCATTCATGGAGCTTTCTATATTTAGTGGATAAATCCTACTTCTCTGCAACTGAAAGTTTCTTCGGAGACCAGATATCTTTTCGGCCGCGTCCGCAGCTGAGGGCTGACCCCTGTCCTCTGCTCCTTGCAGCCCAGAAGGGGATAGTGAAGTTCTGGGATGAGTTTGGCTACCTGTCGGCCAGCTGGAGCCAGCCTCCGTCAAGCGAGCTGCGGTACAAGAGGCGCCGGGCCATGGAGATTCCCATCACCATCCAGTGCGGTAAGATCCCGCTGTCTGCGCTGGCCTCCTCGCTGACGGGCGCTTTGAACCAGCGGGCCTCTGCCTGGCGCTGCGCCAGCCAGGTGATGAGGCACGAAGTCTGCGCTGTCTTCGCAGAGGTGTAGTGGAGGCACCAGCCGTAGCTGTGCCAGAAGGAAGTTGTCTTTGATTAATAAAATGTTTTCTAACCCAGTACTTATTCAGGTTCCCTTTTCTCTGTATTGATTGATCATAGAGGTTTATTGGCTCCTTTCAAGCACCTTCTTTTTGCTTTTAACACTGTTGTGTCTGTGAAACGGAAGGTCTCTGCATGTCTTGTTTAAAGGTTTGCCCTTTACATATGGGGAAAGGGGTAAATCTGACGGCATATAACTTATACGCAGCCGTTCTTTTGGACGTATCAAACCGTCTAGAAATCTCAGCAGGGGCCCACACCAGCCCCGTATTGTGAATTTTACTTTTAAAAGCAAATAAAAACGTAAAGTTTGCCATTAACAGGGGACAGGTCAGCTCATCCGGCTTGTATGGATTTTACTAGCTAGTTGACCTTTTCCTTAAAAGAAGCATGGGTATTGCCTGGACAGGGTGTTCCACACTTTAATGGCCTTCCCCCTGTTCTCCCTCTTCCACAGACAAGTGTCTGCGGTGGCGCACTCTTCCATTCCAGATGGAGTCCGTAGATAAGCAGTACCCTGACAACTGGGTCTGCTCCATGAACCCTGACAGCACACAAAACAGGTGACCACGAAGATGCCGTGCTGCATGTACAGGGCTCTGCCACATGAAAACGGGTAGCATCAAGGAAAACCTGAGTTGCACATGAGCACAGCAGTGTGTGATGGCTTGTAGAGGGCCTGTATTTGTACTGTCAGTGATGTAGGAAGGTTTGAAAGCTCCACAGCAGTGCTGAGCTGATGGGGAGGCATGCATGTTTGATTGCGGTGTGCAAAAAATGAATTGTGCAAAAGCTGTGAGCCATTCTTTGTTGTCCATTAGAGGTGACAGTGAAGGAATGTACCCCACAAAGATGCCCATGTGTCCCACAGGAGGCAGATTTTCCCATTATATTGTAGTACAAAAGGGTACTAAAATATTCAATCGTGTCCTTTTATTGTGCTTTAACAGCAATGGCTAAAAAAAACGGTCTCCGAAAAAACCGAAACAAAGTGCAAAAATACATTGCATGAAATCATTTGAAATCTGCCGAGATGATTGCTCTGACGTGGTCTTACCTCGTCCCAGTGGACCCAAACTTCAAGTCTTTTAATAACGAGTTTTTCCTGCATGTAGGTGCGAGACTCCCGAGCAGAAGCAGAACCTGCCTGTAGGAGTCATGCGCAAGGAGGCGAAGACGACGGAGGACAAGCAGAAGCAGCTCTCGGAGAGGATCCGCCAGCAGCAGGAGAAGCTGGACGCCCTGCAGGTGATGGGTCTGGGAAATGAACGGGCCCGGCAGCTCCGCAAACAGTCCAAACTGAGCCTGGTTTCCAAACCACCCCCTCAGTCCGTTACACCAGGCGGCCATAACACATTTACAATGGAATAAGACATCAGTAAAGCAAGTATCTGTCAAAAAAGAAAACAACTCAGCTGATGAGTGAGAACTACCCATGATGTTGTTCTCCTGTCTCCTTTAGTGTTGCACATTTGGTCATACCTTATTTGTTATGTGTTCATAAAATGTGATTTCACAAATCTAATGTAAAGAGCTGGTGTAATGTATGACCACAGTGTTAGACTGAATAGATTATTTGGGGGACTCGAGCAGGTGGAGTGGTACTTCTGTTTTCTGGTGTGAGCCCTACTAAAGCAGTCTTGGAAAGGCATCTCCTGCTAATTCGCTTGAGTTGGAAGGATAAGTAAAGAACAAATAATTAAGCTGCCTAAAACTGGTCCTGATCGTGTAATGTAGGAATTGACGTTTGACTCAGGGGATGTTTTTTTTTTGCTCCACTAGAAAACCGCAGTGGTGAAATCCCAGGCAGACCTGAAAACCCTGCCTCTTGAGGTCAGCATGAAACCTGCAGTTGAGAGCAGCTCTCAGGTAATGAAGCAGCCCAAGACCCATATTGACTTTCAGACTGTGTGTGAACTGTGCTCCTGCCCGAGAAAAGTATAATAAAGTGGAAGATCCTAGATTGATGAGCTCTTCTATGAGATTTTCATGAAAAGTCACTCCGGCATACGACTTCTTGTGTTACTGGTATTGCCAGTGTTTTGCTCTGACTTGGGAACCAGCAAGTTTTGTCCAGATGTGTTGGTTCCCTCCAGTGTAGTCATGTCCTGTGGTTATTGTGTCCTGTAGAGGTGACAGCAGTGCTTCCTTTTCTACCCGCCAGGCGACCAGGTCCTCCGAGAGGGTGCAGCGCCCCCGCTCCCCGCCACTGCCCGCCATGATCAAAAACGCCCCCAGCCGGCCGCCCCTCGTCAAGCCTCCACCCCTGAGCAAGAAGCCCCCCACGCCCACCCGCACGCCGAAGCCAGCCACCCCACCGCCCCCGCCCCCGCCCGTCCGGAGAGACGCCCGCTCCAGCGCCGCCAGGACCCCCGCGGCCAGACCTTCTGCCCGGACCCCCGCCCCCAGCAAGGCGGCGGCCAGCCGGTCCGCCCGGGTACGAACACACTCCACTCCGCTTGTCTGGAGCGAGAGACGCTGTGTGGGGAGACCTCGCGAAATCAAACCTTTTCTCCCATTTTGGTCAGGATATTTTTTGGGGAAGTTTGTTAAATTTGTCTGAGTTATCTTTATACAAAATACCAAATATGTCAAAAAAAGCTCTGGAGTTCTCGAAACCGCAAAAGCACATCAGATTTCCTGAGTGCTCCTTGGGTGTTTAAGAAGTATGAGTTTTAGTGAGGGTGTTAAGGGGGTCAGCTCAGTGGCTTGTTACGACAGTAGGTAATTGTGACGGCTCTGACACACTGCGGCGTACGAGCTGAGTACGAGCCTGCTCATGCAGAGGGGGACTGTCCCGCTGACGGCCAGCTGCTGTCGGCTCCCGAGCGAAGAGGTATGAGCCTTGTATGAGCCCTTCTCCTCTCTTCTCCCTCCTCGGCACAGAGCACGGCAAAGCAGGTAACACCTGCAGGGAGCCAGCGCAAGAGAGGCCCCCCCCAGGCAGAGAACAGCGAGGAGGAGGAGGAGGAAGACGAGGAGGAGGAGGAGGAGGACGACGATGAGGAGGAGGAGGAGGAGGAGCCGCAGCCCAAGAAGACGAAGGTGACCGGCTCGGCGCCTGCGCGTGGCAAGGGCCCTGCGGCGAAGCCCGAGCTGAAGCAGAAGAGTGGGAGAGTGACGGAGCTCAGGGCGCAGACAGCGGAGGGCAGCGTGGTGGTGGAGGTACTGTACTGCGCTCTTCCCCGACTCTTCTCACACCCCCTTGCTCCGCAGGCACGCGCCCCCTGCAGGCAAACAGCCACGACCCAGGACTCCTTTGAACTAAAATAAACCTTGTGCATCACAAAGGCTTGGGAAATTGGTACATTTACAAACAGAGAGAAGGACTGCATGGGTAGTAGCAATAATTGCATTTATATAGCGATTTACATGTTTCCAGGAAACCCACTTTATCACCCACTGAAGTGCTGCACCTTCTTGGGTGAAGCCTCTCGCCCTTTTTCCACACTATGCGGCAGATCAGGTAGAGATATGAGAACTCCCTTCTGGGCATTAAGGGGGTGTTTTAAGACTAAAGACTAAATTAAGAACACAAGATGACAGACTTTGGGCAAAGGAGCCCTGTCGTTGTTTGGTTTTCACTGGACTTTTGCTTAGTTTTCACCTGTGTCTTCTGGGGTGTGTTTCACTGTTCATTCTGATGGATTTATGGAAAAGGTTGAAAGCCAGAGTGAAATTTAGCTAAGACATCACGGGTAGCATCCCTGCTTTTTAAGCACAGTGCCTCTGCATCTTTAATGACCAGCTTGTGGGGATGTCTGCTTCATATCTCATCTGAGCGATGGACTTCCTGCAGCGCGGTGTGCTTAACCACTGGAAATGTTAAAGGCGCCGCAGTTGGACCTTGAATAATGATAATATTATTCAGCGTGGGGAAGGTGAGGGCCTGAGGTTTCTGCACATCCCTAAGCTCCCCTGTCTGTTCTGGTGGCGGGTGTTGTACTGGCCTGCCCCTTCTCCGGAGTCACGTGCGATGTGCTGTCCTTGAATCTGCAGAGCGCTGGGAAGCAGATGCCTGGCTCCAGACGGAGGACACTCCCTCCTGCTGAGAGCACGGAGGAGGAGGAGGAGGAGGAGGAGGAAGAAGAGAAAAGGCCAAGCTCTGGCAAAAACAGGCTGGCGGCTGCAATTGCGCCCCAGGTGTTCAGAGCAGCGGCCGAGCCAAAACGCGCGGCCGCGTCGCAGCCAAGCGCTCGGAGAGCCCAGAGCAGCGTGGTGGTGGAGGTACACTGATCCCCCGACGGGGCGCGGTTTCGAAAAGCCCTCTAGGCGGTAGCCTCCTTCCCCCAGCACAGACAGGCGGCGGGGTCTGGTCCCAGTGGCTGCAGCAGAGCCTGGCGCGTGGCTCTTCCTGCAGCCCTCTCCCCGGCAGGCAAGGCCAGCAGTTCTGCTGACATCATGCGATACTGGAAACGTGGACGAGCTCTCGCAATTTTTTTTGCCAAGATTGGCAATCATGTCGGTAGCTAAAACATCTCTGTTACAGCTCGGTGCACCTGACACTTTCCGTGTCCAGAGATGATGAAATTTTCTAGCTTTGCTTCGCAAATGTTCCTTTGTGATGATGACTCCTTATGATGAACCACTGCCTTTTGCCAAAATCATGTACTATACAGCGGTAAAAAAAACATAAAGCCAGAAAGAAAAGATCTAGTTGGCTGCGGCAATTGTTTTGGGCAGCAAAACATCCCAAATACTACACATGCATCCGGCGCCCTGATAAATGATCTAGATATAATAAAGGTTCTTGGTATTCATACATCTGAGTATCCAGATTGCGGTGTATTTAGATAAAGAATTTGATGAATTCTTTGTGCTGGTGAGAGAATGCCAGCTTTCGCTTTCTCTAGCACGTGGTGTCCTATCCGAGCTCCGAGCTCTTGGTTATTTAATTGAACCTGAAGTTTAAACTAATTGAAGCTTTTGAATACATTTCTGTTCTTGAACGTCGGAAGATGGTAAGAACAAAAACAAAAGTAACTTGAAACCTGTACCCATTTGGAGTGCATTGAAAGGATCTGATTAACCAAATTATTACCTTCACTTAGGGTTCAGTTACGCAGCTGGAGAGCTCATCTGGGGTGGAAACCTGGAGGCTCTGGGGCTACGGTGGGGAAAGATTTGCTCTGGCGTTTGAGACATCAGCTCGTGGTTTCGTTTCCAGAGCCAGACCCTGCTGTGCTTAAAGCCAGGCTTGTCTCTTGTGTTGGCAGATCACGGACAGCAATGAAGAGGAAGAAGAAGCAGGAGTGGATCTCAAGGCAGCAAAGAAAGGTGAGCAGCTCTAGAGAGCTGTAGGAATCCACAGGAGGAATGTTACGACACTGCAGCCCAGCCAGTGGGAGAGCCTGGCCAAAGTGACTCAGACCAGTAAACCTTTGCTTTAACTGAACATTAGATAGTGTAACATGTTCTTGTACAGCATTCTTTTAAATAGATTTAAAAGCCATGAATGGCAATGGAGCAGGTAAGGGTGGCCAAATTGCTCATGGTGGGTCTTGTTTGTGGTTCAGATGCTTTAACAATTTGTTAATGCTCTTATGTTTTAAAAAGTAAATTCTAAAATAATGTTAACCATGTAAAAAAATGATCTGTAAGATGCATACATAATAAAACAAGGTAAAAATAAATACTACATAGATTTAAAATTCAGGAATACCAATGGAGCCCTAATGACAATAATAAACTTTATTTTATATCACTCCCTTACAATTGGCTTGTCAAAGCGCTTTACAGAAAAACAATGAGAGGAAAAGCAGAATTACACAAGCTACAATGAGGGATTAGAATACAGCAAAGGGGCACACACAGAGCCTAGTTAAATAAAAGCCCTTCTACATCAGTTGCTTACACGGGTAACGGGTGTTAGTTGTGTGTTGTATATGTATTTTTTATCATAGCATTTTTTGAGAAAAAAATGAGAAAACATCATTCATGATTAAGCAGACATTTGGCAATAACAGACACCTCCTCTCATTTGTTAGTCCACTGAGCTGCGGGTGTACTGCAATATACGAATTCTGCCTCCGCGGTGGCATCCTCGTGTGGGCCGAGCGTGATTGTGCTTGCAGAGGTGAAGGGCGCGAGTCCTTGCAGGGTCGCTCTTTCAGGCCGCCTACAGTGTCCCCTCTGTCTGCAGATAGAGGCCTACTGGTGGAAGTGAAGGTGAACAAGGAGTGGTTCACTGGCCGCGTCTCGTCTGTGCAAGCTGGGAAGCAGGGCGTTCTCTGGAAAGTGAAGTTTGACTATGTGCCCACTGCCATCACCCCTCGTAGCAGGTGGTAAGTCTCATTTTCCCTTCGGGAAGGCTTTCCCCAGTTCCTTACAACTCGGTTGGAGTAAACCAGCAGGTAGACGGATTGCCATCTCCGATTTCAGGGATTTCTTCAAGGTGTTTCTGCAGAGCACTGGTTCACAGTGGGGGAAATGGTCAAAATGACCTGTTCCAAGGTTCACCCTGAAATATTTTTACCTTGCTGCGGAACGTTTTGGAGGCCACGCACACAAAGCAATGCATTGTCACTTCACACAAACAGAAGCAGCAGGCAATGGTGTGGAGTTTATTCTCATGGCCACACTTTCTTTGCCACCTTTTTGCACATTTGGGCAAGAGCTTCTTTGAATAATTGAATTCTTTCTATTTCTATAAAATAGTCATGCTGGTTAGATTAATCAAGGTCTTTTTGACAAGGGTAATGTAAGCAACACAGTGCTTTATGTAATATGTCCAAAACAATTGCTAATCCAGTTGGAAAGGTTTTAGAATAACCTGATATTCTAGTTTTCTGTGGTGTTCAGATGAGCTGTACATGAAAAGTGATTTAAACATGCTGCCATGTTGAGGCTAGATATGCAACCACGATCCTGAGGATAGGCAACACTGATCTAGCTGATCCTGCTCGGCAGGCGTTGATGGGCAACTGATCTAGCTGATCCTGCTCGCCAGGCAGTGATGGGCAACACTGATCTAGCTGATCCTGCTCGCCAG